GAGAAGCAGAAACCCTGGCAAGGTTGGGGTGTGGGCCACAATCCCCACAGGTCATTTCAGACTCCAACATTGCTGGCCCCCAGCTTGCATCTCACCCTACTCACAGGCAAGAAAAGCCATGGGATATTCTATCATGTAAAAAAGCAGGTAGGCAAGATAAAAAATGTATTTTCTTATTTCTTTAGTAGGGAACACTAACAAGGGCATCCCCCTGGCACCTGGGATGTGTGGCACACCAACACAGAGCTCTAAATTTCCGAGGCTCTCCTCTCCCTTTTGCCATAACACACAATTTTTTCTTCTCAGCACTGGGGCACAATGACCACAGGTTTCCAAGGAACTGCCAACAGCAAACCCCCAGGTCTATTTTTCCCCTCTGCATCTTCCCAAATAACACAACACTCATTCATAGGTATGAATAATTCCTTACAATTCCTCTTTGAGTACAAATAATTCCCTATAATTCCTTTTCAGCTCGTCTGCCGTTACATCATCCTGTCCGTGTGGGCAGTGAGTATTTCTGGCCTCTCAGTTTTTCTGACTCCAGCTCTTTTCAAGCCACCTCACCTCCCTCCCTGTAATTAGCAACAGGCTTTTCCATCACAAAAGTTGGAAGTTTCATTGAACTGTTGAAATCCAGTCCAGTTTTGAAAAGTCTTTTGTGCAGCACAAGTTGCCACAGGACATCAAGGCCAAGATTTGGAAAGATTTTTTCATCCCCTTGTGTGAGGCATCACCTGGAAGGCTCTAAAACAAGAAAACAGGAGTAACCCAAAGCAAAGGCTGGCAAGGTCTGTGTTGACCAAAACATGCCATACTCCCTGAGTTATCTTTTATTCTGAAAAAGAGCTGAGTTATCTTTCCTAGAAGACAAGCATCACAGTTCTTATTAGAGTTTACTGACCTACAGGCTGTGCATTGTGTTAGAGTGGAAAATATCCACATTATTTACATACTTGAGCATAGTTTGTTCCCTGTAGTCACAGAAGCTGAAAATCCCTTCTGGCAGAAGGGCTTTTTGCAGGATGTGTTGGTTAGAGCTCCAAGTTTCACCTTTTGAATTATGATCTCTTTTGCAGGCCATGGATTAAGTGTGTGTACATATACTCAGATAATGCACACAGCCTGGTGTGGGCTTGCTTTTGCTGCTGAGATTTTTTTATGAGAAGGGGAAAAAAAAATCACAGAATCATAAAATCACAGAATGGTTTGGGTTGGGAGGGATTTTAAAGTTCATCTTGTTCCAACTATCTGCTGTGGACAGGGACACTTTCCACTAGACCAGGTTGCTCCAAGGCCCATCTAACCCAGCCTTGAACACTTTGAAGGATGGAAGGTGGGAGATTTTGCAGAGATGTTTTAAATTCTTGGCTGGTGCTGCAGGATGGGAAGGGCAGAGCCAAGTGTCTCTTATCTTTTCTTAATTCCCACTCTGACCTGCCCATCTAGAGATGCTCTTGCCCCTTTCCTTGACTGTTCCAAAGTCATTTGATGAGACAAAAATGCATCAAGAAATATTTGCACAAAGGCAGACAGACAAACAGAAAGCGTGGGAGAAAAGTAGAACCAAGAAAACTTCAGGAAAATATTTTCTGGACCACTTCCTAACCAGGGTGCTGGGGAGGCATTGGGATAAAAGCAATAGCAAATTCTTTGGAACTAAGGAAAGTGTCTATTGCAAGCGAAATTAAAATGCAATTTGCAGCCCTGCCCTCTGTCCCTGCTCTTTGCTTTGATTTCCATGCAGGAAAAGGCGTTTGTTCTTTAAAATAGGGCTGTGAGGGGTGGGACCCTGCACCCCTGATCTGCTGTGCAGATGCTCAGCTGATGATGGGAAAGTAATGGAGCAACCTTTGGTTTCGGTGGTACTCCCTAATTTCAGAGCAAGAAGCATCTCTGTCTTGCAGGAGCAGCTTTTATTTGAGGGGGAAAAAGATGACTTTGGGTTGGGCAGATGCCCGAGGAGTCCCTAGAGAAAAAGCCAGCAGATGGTGCTCAAGGATGGAGCCAAGGCAGGAATGCTCCTGGGTGTCACCATGTGTCTGTCAGGCACTCACAGCCACCCTGTGCTTTGCCTGAATCACACGAGTGAAATCCACAAAAGTTTCCTAAATCAGGGTAGAAATTGCCCTGTTGAGGCACATCAGAAAAGAACTTCAAAATCTAACCACTCCCTGCCAGTTTCACTGGAGTTTTTTAAAGCTGGGACCCATATTCTGTTGGTGGGAGAACTTCAAAGTCACCTTTGCATCTTGGAAATGATGTAGCACACAGGGCTTTTAATTTCTTCGTGGGTAGAAAGAGAATTCCTCAAAACCATCTTCCTGACTCATAGCATTAATCACGTCTAGTTATTAATGCACCAGGGAGGAAATATTGCTGAACTTAGTCCCAGCTGCCTCTAGAAATTACCAGCATGATGTGATCCAGTCTTTTACTAATTATCAGAGGGTTTGTTTAGTGTCTAGGGGTGGAAAATATTCTGTCCCTGCAGATGTCACCCTCTCCCCAGGGGCGTCACCACTCCCAGAATGCCACAGCAGCCAGAGCCCAGGTTCCCATGATGGATGGGGATCACTTTGCTGGGAGTCACCAACACAAACAGAGAGGGAACTGCTAAAGGAAGGGTTGTAAAGAGTTGTGAGTGAAAGGGGGGGAAAAAATAACCCCCTCCCAAAATGCCCTGAGCTTCCTGTCTGGCTGCTCCCCCACTATGTGTCAGTGATAAAGCCCCTTTTTGGAAAGGAAAATCTTCCAGCTTGGTTCTTACAGCCACAGAGGCGTCAGATGGGAATTGAAAAGCTCTTGCAGCCTCATTTAATTATTGGAGCACTTGGTAAAAGTCACTTCAATATTAAAACCATGTTAAGACAAATTAAAAAAAAAAAAAAAAAGAAGAAGAAATGCTAACAGCACAAAAAGAAATCAATCTAACTCCCACGTTAAACATGTTCTCAGTTGAGCTGTGATAGGCACATAACACGGGTCACACACATTTTACCAGTGTTGTTACATTATTTATCTGGAATTCTCTGACTTGGCTGTTTTTCACTACTGTTCTGGAGGTGCGTGCGTGGAGCTTTCCTGTGGTTTGTTCTTTTGGGTTGTTTTTGTTTTTTTTTTTTTTCAGTCAATTAAAAGTGTTTCCCTGCAGTCCTTCACTGCCACACAGAAAACTCCAGTTTTCAAGGCAGATCTGGAGAAAAGGCAACACAGATCCCAGCTGCCACTGGTAATGGCAAACTGGAAGCACTGGTGGGTACAATTCTTCATTACAATAGCAACTGTAACCTCAAGTTCTTGCTTTACTGAATCTCAGAATAGCCTGGGTTGGAAGGGACCTTGAAGACCACCTTGTTCTCTCCTCCTGCCGTGGGCAGGAACATCTTCCACTAGACCTGGGGGCTCGAAGCCCTGTCCAAGGTGGCCTGGAACACTTCTAGGGATGGGGCATCCCAGTTGAGCTCTGCCTGACAGCTCAAGTCACCTGGAAAGGCCTTTGGATGCTTATGCCCATATAATGCTCCTCCAGTGTATGTATTTTATCTTTTAGCAGCTGTCCCTCACTCTGGGTGAAAATAAAAATAATAAAATAAATATAAAATAAAATAAAATAAAATAAAATAATATAATAAAATAAAGTATTTGTCATGGCTTTCCAGCAGCTCCTGTTTCTACCATCCCCTGTTCAGTGCCCACTGACACCCAGCGAGGAGCTGCAGTTCCCTTTTGCCAGGCTCATTTATTATTTGGGAACTCCCTGCCTGTAAGCTCCAGCTTGACAGATTTTGGAGGGGTTTTTTTTGCCTTTGGGCACGAGGCTGGGGAGTTCCACTCTGGGTCCCACTGTGTCTTCAGTCTCTGCCAGCTCCGAGCCAAGCACCATTTCTAAAAGGAGTTATTGCCTCAGTTCCAAGGGCTCAGCACTTCCCTGAAGCATTCCAGCTATTTCTTTATGTGGCTGGTCTTTCAAAGAGCACAAACCCAAGAGCAAACATCATAAATCCCGCTTTGAAAAGAGAAGAACTTGACTATTTGATTCCTGGGACACCACTCCAGCCTTATATGGAACCAAGCAATAGCAAGAGATAAGAGTTAAAGTTTCCATACCAGTGTTTATTGCAAAACACAACCCAGTGCAGCCTGAAATGTTTAACTTTGGCCAGCGATCTGCTGTCCCACAAGGCACAGGAATAAAATTAACCCCAAATTTATTAGGCTCTGCCTAATGAAAGGTTAGAGCATTCTTTCACTTCACATATGCTTTAAAAATTTTAAAGTTCACCAGTCAGGAACTTACAGACCGGATTTGTTGCCTTTTAAGCTTTTCCTTTCACCCTGTATATCTTTAAAAATATTTATCCTTATGCTAAGGGGACTTAGCATAAGTTAGTAAGTTTTTATTTATGTTATGTATAACGTAACTTTTGTTTATAAGTTATGTATAACATAAATCCCCCACGTCTGCCTCCCCACCTGGTTAGGTATAAAAACCCGCTGTAATATTTTAGTGGGAAGGTGCACAGAGAAGAGACTCTTTCCCCCTGATGCTGGTGTTGTAAGGATCTCAGCCTCGAGCATCTCCGAGCGGTGCTGCTGCACAGCCCTGTGTAACTTGGTATGGTCCTTGGCATATCCCGACTCCTGCAAACATACAAGACCAAAAGACATAGTTTTGTCATTCCACGGGGCTTAATATTTTTTTTTCCTCTCTCTCTTTATTTTTTTTTTTTTTTTTTTTTTTAATTTGAGTATCTATTTCTCACCAGCAAGTGAGCAGCTCTCTGGACGCGCAGGGCCAGCGCAAAGAGGAGAAGCCACACAGTGCGGAGGCGTCCCCCGAGGCGGGAGGTGGGGGACGGGACTGTGTGTGATGAGCAGCTCTGACCTCAGCCCAGGGAACGCCAGCCCCAACCATCTGGATCCCATTTGCGACGCCGGCTCGCCCGGCCCCCCGGCATTCCCGAGCCCGCTGCCTCCTCCGGTCCCGCTCAGACCCACGGCAGCCGCCGCGCAGGGACCAGCGTCCCTCCAGCCCCCTCATCCCACCGTGCCCCACCATTCCCGCATCCCAGCAGTGCCTGCACCCCACTGGGCACAGCGACAGGGTACTGGGAAGGCTGAGCAGCAGCGCACGCCATGAAGCAAGGGTGAGAGGCGCTCCGGAGAGGAAAATCCTGGAATAAGCAACTCTTTTGGAGGTTCACTCAGGGGTAAGTGTTGCTTGCCGTGTGGGAGCCCTCAGCCTAACCTCAGCAGCTGCTAAGCCATGGTTCGCCACTTTGGTGGGGTTTTTTTCAGGGAATTTTAGACAAAACCCATCGCCAGGTTTGCATCAGTCTCAGAAAAGCGGAGGGATGCTGCCGGCTCGCTCAGCCCGTGAGCTCCTCCCGGAGCTGATGCACCGCAGGTGTTTGGGAACACTCCTGTCCCCACCACTATAAGGGAGTTAAATCCATTCAAAAGTACTGATCTGTGTATTTCCTCAGCGTGGTTTTTGGATTTGATGCCTGGGAATCGCTGTGTGATGGGATGGGAGCAGGATGACACGGGAAGCAGTGCCCCAAGGAGGGCATGTGGTGGTTTGGGAAGATGTATCCTCACAAGGAGATGGGGACATCAATGGGACCTTGCAAGGAATGTGCTTTCCTGTTCCCAGGGCTGGGGGGATATTGGATATCTGCTCTCACCCTTCCTGCCCCAAGGTGAGGTAGGATGAACCCAGCAGAGGTGCTCAGCCGTGCCACTCCTGCTGCCGGGCGTGTCCCCACTGCTCCGGGGTGGGCCAGCATGTGGCTCCAAGGATAATCCTCATCCTCTTGTGGTCATCCTCAGAGAGGGAAATCAGCCAAGCAGCAGCTTTTCCCCTAAGGGAAAGGGCATGGAGCCACCATCCCTCTGCACAGCTCCCATCTGCTCTCCCTCCTGCCCTCCCCAGCCCTTTCCCCGCACAGCCCCAGTTGCCCTCAGCCTCCTGGGATTTGCTGAGGGGGCGGCTATGACTAATCTGGAGACACCCTGCCACCATCCCGCAAAGCCCTCCCTTCCCAAGCAGAGCTGGGGCGAGAAATGGTTGTGGCCAAACTGGTTTCCTGACCAAGCAAAAGAGCCAAAACTGCCCGGAATGGGGGTAGCCAAAGCCCCCCTGGTTCCAGTTTGTGCAATGGGAAACTCTCAGCTCGTTTCTGGTTGCTGTGATGATTTTATGTGAGCTCTTGGGGGAGGAATCCTGCGTTTTTCAAAATTCTGGCTTTGCCCCGTTTCTTGCTGGTTTAAGGAAAAAAAGAATCAGTATTTGTGGTTGGATAATTACGGTGCTTGTATAGTGATGCTTCAGGGGCACAAATACCCAGTTTAGGAGGTTTGTAGAGAGGTGGCTCCAGACTAAGGCTGTTGCAGGGAGCTGGAGAATTCCTCCAAGGTCATGTAAGAATGCAGAGGAGAGACTCAACTCCACATCTCCCTGGCACCATCCCTTCAGTCAGAGCTCAGGGAAACAGGCTTTTCATCCCCAAACTTACTCTGCCCTTACAGAGAGGTTGGCCATACCCAGGGCTGTGACTGTGTTTAAGGCAGGAGTGCAGGGCTGCCACCACACCATCGTTCATTCATTCCCTTTCCAGTTTCCAGCACCCTCCCCAGTCCCCTTTCTGGTTTTTCAAACATCTCTACGATTTTCCATTCAAAACTCAGCAACTTTCCCTGATTTCAGGGTGAGCTAAACCAGCCCCTGCTTTATTCCCAGATGTGAAGGAGGGGGGAAAAAATTCTCAAAAATAATGTTCCTCTTCTACTTTTGCTACGTGCCTGTCCAGGAACAGGAGGGAAGGGAACATCTTATTCCTTCCATCAGTACAAACTATGGTAACTGCACAGCCTTGCCAGCCTTGGATTGTGTTCCCCATTGGATTTCCAGCGAAGGGGTGAGCCTGCCCTGCGCTGGGCGTGCACGGCGCCGGGTGGCATTGCGTGCTCGCTCCCCGCCGTGAATCACAGCCAGCCTTACCCCCTCCACATGCCCATCACTTTTTCCACCTTTTTAAGTGATCTGTGTTCCACATTAAGGAGCCGATTTGTTTGGGTGGGGAGGCTCCGGGAGGCTCCGGTTACTATACATAAAGAGTCATTGATCTTTGAGGGAGTTTCCGCTTTTTTTTTTTTTTTTTTTCTTCTTTTTAGCAAATACTCCCTTTCCTCTTATTAACGGCTCTATTTTGGTCTCAGTCTTTGGATGGAGAAAACAACTAGATTTTAAGCCAACAGCATGCTTAGAGGACAGAAATGAATATGTGATTCATATTAAATTCTAGCTCCCAGGGAACTTGCCTGGGTAGGATATGGAAGCACCATAACTCTATTGCTTTGCTGAACATTGGTTTTCAAAAATCAGAGCTCCAGCGGCTTGCAAAAGCAGGGAGATTTTTTTCCACCGTTTCAGGCTTCTTCTTCTTCTTCTTCTTTTTTTTTTTTTTTTTTTTTTGTAATGTACAGGTCTGCGTATGTAAGAATAAATGTTTTCAGGGGCAGCCCTCAACCCCACAAACCTCACCTTCCCAGTAGCACTTGGCAGGAAGGTTTATGCTTCCAAAGAGCTGAGACAAATCTTAATGTCTCCACCTGGAGCCATGAATAAATCCAGGATCTGTCCTATGTGGCTCATCCTGAGTTTCTAGAAATAGCTTTGCTTCTAAAGGCCTGTGGAACCAGGTGGAATTCAGTGTTCTGTGATGAAGAGGTGACACTTATGTCCCTTAAAAAGGTGACCAAGCTTTTTTCACGTGGAAAAATCATGGCATTCAGCCTCAAAATCACACCGGGAGTGGCTTTTGGCTAACATTTTCCCCAGCTCAGGGAAATTTAAGAGGGAATTCATCCAGGCGAGAGAGGAGCACGCCTCACCTCCAGAGGGCAATCTGCAGCTCCCTGGCTCCACATCAGGATTTTGGGAGCTGGTTCTCCCAGCTGCTCAACCCACAGCCATGACTGCAGTCACATCCCACTGCTGGGGATGCAAGGAACTGTTCTGGGGGCTCTGGGTGACTTCCAACCCACTGGCAGGGCTTACAGCTGCTGCCCCCCGTGGCTGTGGATACAGCAGAGAACAGCCAAGCCAAGGGAACTTGAGGCTGAGCAGTTTGGTTGGGAAGCAGGGTGATGATGGACGAGGGAAAATCCAAGAAAGCAAATGTAGGTGAAGGCAGAAGTTTCTTTATTTTGGCTCTGACAGAGATCTGGAGGGGCCTAGAGGATATGCACAGCATCCTGCACCAGCTATGGGATGATGCTTTGCTCTCCCTGTCCCCCTTTCAGAAAAGCTGTTGGGACCCAGCTGCAAATCCACCTCGTATTCCCATGGGAAAAGCATGATTCACCCCACATGCACAAGGGAATTTAAGGGCTGCAATTGTTTCTCAGGTTTTTAGTCAATATATTTTTTTGTGGGTGCTGCATGGCTGGGCAGGAAAATTGGATCAGATATCCTGTGCTCTGGGGCAGTGAGACATCCCAAGGTCTCTGGGTGTGCCAGCTGGGAAAGCTGCACAAGGCCAAGCCCAAATCCAGGCCATTTATGCCCCAAAAATGTGCCAGTCTCTCTGCCTACCATGCTCTGCTCCTTCCCAGAGGCTGCTCAGCTTTCCAGCAGGAATGTGTCACAGGAACAGGGAGATTATGGAACAAATGTCATAAATACAATCACAAAATGGTTTGGGTTGGAAGGGACATGAAAAAAACATTTTGTTCCAGTCCCTTTCAACACTTCCAGGAATCCAGGGGCAGCCACAGCTTCTCTGGGCACCCTGTGCCAGGGCCTCCCCACCCTCACATGGAAGAATTTCTTCCCATTATCCTATCTATTTTATTTTCACTACACTCTAGAGAAAAAAACCACCCCAACACATAAAAGCAAACAACTGCTTAGAAGGTGAATTTGAAACATCCACTCAAGGAAAAAAAAAAAAAAGTAAAATGTCAAATTTTATGCACAGAGAAAGTATGCAATATATGCAAAAAATAGCTGCTGGGGAAAATATTTAAGGAAATCACTTCATTGTGTCAGGGGTAGAAATGATTGCTTTTTGAGAGCAGTATTAGGAACAGATGTATTTCTTCTGATGAAATACTGTAATATTAAGAGGTTGTCACACACTGTATAAACTCTAGACAGACATAAAACTTCCAGATTATTGAAGGCTACAGGAACTAATCTTTTAGCACATGAATCATGGAGAAATTGGCTCCCCAGATTTTGGTGCTAACTTAACAATTCAGGAAAACTCTTTTGCTTCCTAAAGGCGCTCAGCAGTCAGGTTTTTCAGCATATTTTTCCAGCTTGAAGTAGATAGAGCAAGTGTTTCGCCAGAGACTGCAAGGAACTTTTCATTTTAAAAATGAAATAAATCCACAATTAATTTGCTTGTTGAAAATACATTGCCGAAAATACATTATTGAAACCCAACAATGCTGGAGAATAACATTTCAAAAAATACTTATCATAACCAAGTATTAAAATGATTTCACATCTCTGGTTTTATCATCCATCCCCTGCAAGCTGGTGCCACCTCCACCTTCTGTAACCAATGGTAATTTGGGACACAAAGAAAGAACACACTGAACAACTTGTTGTGCCTCACTGAGGCAAGCCAAGCAATAAAAATCACATTATTCACTGTCTTAAACTCACTTTTCTCGCTGAGCCACAGACTTTGTTCAGTCAAAACAGAGCTGAACAGAGTTTTGGGTGAACTTCCCCATCCAAGGAAAGAACTAAAAAATTACCCCCACTCACCCAACCCCTACTATGTTACCTTTACAAAAAAAGTTGCTGTCCTTGCTGCATAGTCTTCTTCTCAAGGGCCAACCCCTACAGGAAAATCCTGTAAATTCCAAGGAAAAATTCCAAATTTCCAAGGAAATTCCTTGCCCACCCCTTTCTGCAAGCACCCAACTCTTCCTCATTAGCTAATGAGTGCCATGGAGAGGGGGCTGTAAAAGAAAACCTTGCTCAGGAGCAGCTCTTCTTAAAGGCTCTTCTTTTCCTTAAATTGTCAATCTCTAAGAGACATCCATCACCTCATCCTGCAAGACTTTGCTGCCGTTTTCTTTCTAATCCGGGCTCCTGTGACTTTAGGATGGTTTTGTGTGATGATAAAACTCATCTGTCATGGATAGAAAAGTCCCTGTGCTTGCACAGAACTATCAATACCATGATGGGGGTCACAGAGAAAGCTGGACATAGGTCTGGAGGCTTCCTAAAAGATAAAATGGGCAATGAGGTGACATGGGCTGCCCTGGGAGTGGTAGAGTCTCCATTCCTGGGAGTGTCCAAGGATGTGGCACTCAGTGCTTTGGGCTGGGTGACAAGGTGGGAATCAGTCCCCATGTTGGACTCAGTCTTGGAGGTCTTTTCCAACCTAAGAAATTCTGTAAGGCTGGAAAATCTCTGTGGGAGTTCATGGGTGATCCTGTAGGCTGGGGAGATTCCACAGTCTCAGGGAGTTTCACTTTTCCCTTCAGCTACATTTCGTGGCAGTAAACAGGCTCAGAGCAGCTGCTCGATGTTAAAACCAAAAAAGCCCCCAAATGTTTGCTTCAGTCCTGTCACTTTTTAGCCAGCAAGACATCCATTTTCACTGGTTTATCTTGATGCTCTGCTCATCCCCAGTTGTTGTGTCTGAAGAGGGATTGGCTGCCAGCAGCTAATAAACAGAATGATAACATAACTTCCTGCATTTTGGGAAAGAAATACGAGCAGTTTTACAGCACACATTACTTTAATGGGCTGTTTTCCTTAGCATGCATTTTAATTCATATTTTTCATTCATTGCTAGCAGCCTTTTCACTCTGTGGCATCCCACCCTTCCCCTGGGAAGGGGGGGTCCCAAGGTTTGTAGATGCTTATGGTTGAAAGAAAAAAAGGGGGAAAGCCTGCAACAGCTTACCAAGTTTTATGAACAAATTACACACTTGGCATGGAGTTTGGTGTGTTAGTTGCTGATCTCCCTGGTCTCAGTATAAGCATAAGTAGCTAAGTATAAGTGGCTTTTGGATAAAGGATAGAGTGAAAGGGAAGAGGGAGAGGGTGATGGATTAAAGAGGGAGAGACAGAAAGGAAGGGAGAATGAGAGATCACCATTCCTGACTCCAGCATTGATCCAGTGGATGGGATATCCAGGGGCACAGATGCACCTGGGCTTCATGTCTGCACCTTTTATAACTACACTTTCCCTATGCTGGAGAAAATTTTCTCACTTTCTGTGGGAATTAGTTAACAAGCTTTTCCTAGACCTTTCTTGAAATGGGTTAAGGGGCTCCAGAGGTCTTCCTGCTTCTCAACACCATCCCCCTGCTGTGCTTGTCTCCCCTAGCCAGAATAAGGATGTTTGTCCCATAAAATGCTGCCCTACCTCCATGTGGCCTCTTCTCCAGCCACATCCTGTTCTTTCCCAGAGTGGGTTACTGCCAACAATCCCTGGTTGTTATTACCAGCAATCCTTGGTTGGCTCCACAGCTGTGAGGATTTGAATCAGAGAATCATCTTGAATCAGAGAACCATGGGATATCTTGAGCTGGAAGGAAGCCACAAGGATCATCAAAATCCAGCTCCTGGCTCGGCACAGGACACCCCAACAATCCCACCCCATGCCTGAGAGCATTGTCCAGCACTTGAAGCTCTCCTAGGCTTTTATAAAATCCCAATGGATGCTGCAAGTGAATCTCACTCAAAAACTTGCAGCTCTTCCATAAATTTCTTCTCTCTCGTGGGGGTTGGGTGGGTGGTTCTCATGAGCTTGATGCTCTTTGCAGAATTCAGCTCTGGGACCTGTAATTGTGTCCTCAGGGGACAAACCCTCTCCATGTGTTCTTTGGGTGAAACTATTTTTTCTGGGAGCAAGATGTCCATCAGGGACACAGTCCAACTGGGCAGATTTGCTCCTGCTGGAGGCACTGGGAGGTCTGGCTTGCACTGGAGCAGCCAGGGGGATGGATGGGTGCCAGCTCACAAAGGTGCAGCTGCTGCCTCTATAAATTGAGGGGTTGCCAATAAAAGGGAAGACTTTGCCATGTCTTGATTAACATTGTGTGCTAGCTGCTGGCTCTGGGGGCCTGCTCAATGTCTGTCCACCTGGTGGTAATGTTATTAATTTTTAAAATTATTATTATTATTATTATTATTATTATTATTATTATTATTATTATTATTATTATTATTATTATTATTATATGTTGAGGGAAAGGCAGAGGAAAGGTTTTGCCAGACTCATGCTATGGGACATTCACAAATTCCATCTGGAGCAAAGGAAAGACCAAATGCTGCAAATCTCCCAAGAAAGACCAGACCCCAGCCCAGCTTTGACACACAGGGAGCCAGAGGAAGTGTCAGGATCTCAGTGGGTTTCAGGAAAGCAGGTGGAAGTTGTCCCCTCCTTTCCACAGAAATTCCCTCTGAATATCCCTGAGGAGTGTCTCTTCATCAGAAATGGGATTAGCTCCTCATGTCCAGATTTTCCCATATTCCCAGCTCTCGGTTCTGTCTCCAGCCATGCCAGCAATTACCATCAGTGTTATTACCACAATTTTCTTCAAAAATAAGAGTTACTCTTCCCCTTAGCCCTCTCAGGCTCTTGTATTGGTCATAACTGTCTGGATTGATGGAATTGGCAAGAATGGCAATAAGAAAATTGAATCACTTTCTTTTTTTTTTTTTTTCTTTTATGATGATCTGGTTAACAGTTTGATGTATTGGAGTCACTTTTGGCTGATTTGAGTAATTGAACCCCTTTAGGGGAATGAACGGTATTAAATCATTGTGTTCCCTTTTGGGAGAATATTTTCCCAGTTAAGCCAGCCTTGCTGGTTTCTGCTCTGTAGGCTTGGAAATGAAGATTAAATAATAAATTGGTCATCTCCATGACAACAGGAACACAGCCCTCCTGGTGGAGACGTTGTTTCAGAAGCCTTGCCAGGTGGATCACAGATAAGAAACTTGCTTAAATTATATTTTTGGCTCCAGCAGATAAAATATTATTCTTGGTGCCTTCCCAAAATATGATTAGCCAGAGCAGGCTATTCCACAACCGGGTCTCTGAGCCTGGGGGAGTCCAAGGGCTTTTTGCTGTGCAGCCAAATCATGTGGCTTACTTGGGTCTGGAGTGCTTAAATTTCCATTTGTATATTTGGGAAAGCTGAAAAGGTGAGCTGAGGCAAAGGGGGATGTTCAGGGCAATTACTGTGGTGTTTGGAAGAAATAAAGGGAGAAAAGGCAACGGCAAGTGGAAGTATGTTGGCAAAGATGTATCAGCTGCTCATCCATGAGTGCAGAGGGCAGGTGGGAGGTCACTGTGTATTTTGGTAGTAGAAACCTAATCATTTTCCTATCTATTACGTATTGCCTGGAACAGCACAGGCAAAAAAAAAAACCAAAAACCAAAAAAATAATCTAATTCCACAGAGGTGATTAAAGGTCAATTATGTGAGTTTTCACTCTGTCCAGCAGCAAATAATTTTATTTCCTGCCAAAGTGCCACAGAAGCCTTGTAAACCCACGTGGTTTGGCTTTTCTACCTCGTGCCTCATCTGTGCCTGACCAGCACTGCCACTGTTTCTCACTCTCCCTCTTTTCCTCCCTTAGGTGTCACAGCAGGTGCTTTGAAACAAAAGGAATAAAAGGAAAACTCACAAAAGAGCAAAATGAGGAAACATCGACATTTGCCCCTCGTGGCAATGTTTTGTCTCCTGCTCTCAGGCTTTGGCTCAGTTGGTGGTCAGCAGCAAGCAGGTAAGCCCGGGCTGCTCCTCCTGACTTTGGCCCTGTAGAACCACTCATTGGCACTGCTTGGTGTTTAATGTGCATGTCCGTGGGATGTTGTGGATGGATTCTGGATGTTCTGCTCCTCAGCCCCACCTTGCTGAGGGTCCTTGGGACCCAGGCCTTGGCCAACACTCACGGTGCCTCCCCAAGCATGACACTGGCCTGTGCCATGCCCTGGAGGATGCTCTGCAGGGCACCAGGGTGTGGGACCTGCACTCAGGGTGGTCCTGAGAGGGTCTTCTGGGCAGAACTGTTCTGCTCTCCCTGCATGTGCAGGAGGGCTTCTAGCAGTGACAAGAGCACTGTCACTGACCTGCAGAAAGGCTGTTCAAAGAGACGGTGCTGGAGCCTTTGGGACCGAGCTGGTGTCACCAAGGGGGTGTTAACAGCAGGAAAAATACAGAAATCTCATGCCAGCACCCATGCTGCTTAAACAAGCTGTCCTTCCTTCCTTCCTTCCTTCCTTGAGCACCACCACAGAGCCAGCAAAAGCCATGCAAGAGACGGGCAGCTAGAAACCGAATGAGCCTGAATTCACGGGTGGAGCTGCCGGTGCCTCTGTCTGGCTGGTGTCCAAACCCATGGGCGAGGGTGTAGGAGGGCAGAGGCGCCTCAGCTCCCCCTCTCTGGGCAGGGCAGGTGGCATGCTGTCCCCCAGGGCTCTGGTGGCTGCGTGGTTGTTCTCCAGCGCTTCTCGTTCTGCCGTGCGCAAAAGCTGAGCTTCACTTTCACCACGCCGAGGAGGCTGTTGGTTGTTTGGGTGAGGAGGAGGAGGAGGCATGCCTGTGCTGACCGATAGAAAACCCTAAACCCCCATCTGTTTTTTTAAAGCTGTCAAAACCGTTGCCGTGGCTGATATAATATTTCTAGTGGATTCCTCCTGGAGCGTTGGGAAGGAACACTTCCAACTCGTTCGAGAGTTTCTGTATGATGTTGTAAAAACTTTAGATGTGGGAGGAAATGATTTTCGCTTTGCCCTGGTCCAGTTCAGCGGAAACCCCCACACAGAGTTCCAGTTAAACACCTACCCCTCCATCCAGGACGTCTTGTCCCATATTGCCAACATGACTTACGTGGGGGGAGGCGCCGAGCCCGGAAAAGGATTAGAGTACCTAATCGAGAAGCACCTCACTAAAGCTGCTGGAAGCAGAGCCAGTGAAGGCGTGCCCCAGGTTATTGTAGTGCTGACAGACGGACAGCCCCGGGGTGATGTGGCTCTGCCCTCGTCTGTCCTTAACTCGGCCCGTGTAAAGCTGTTTGCCATCAGCAAAGTTCAGGACGCGGTGGAAGGGGAGTTACGGGAAGTAGCGAGCGCACCCCTCGATACGCACCGCTTCAACCTAGAGAATTTTACCGCTCTCCACGGCATAGTTGGAGACTTAGTGGCGAGTGTCCGCTCCTCCATGACTCCAGAACAGGCTGGAGCCAAAGGACTGGTTAAAGACATCACAGGTAATGGCTGGCTGGTGGTATCTGCTGGTGCTGTGCTGTTTGGCGTTGCCACTCTGTAGGGGCAAGACTGAGATGGACGTTCAGAGGCTTAAAAACAAAGGTTTGAAGTGTGTGACCCCATGTTTGCAGCTGCTGAGATGCTGTTGTTTGCAAACGGAGTCAGGGCTGCTAGGAGTCAGGGCAGGAATCCTTGAATGGGCAGTGGCACCATCTTTTGGCACATATGGCATGGAAATTCAAGCAGAGGGAACTCTGCAGAGTTAGTAAATTGCCCTGTCCTCTTCACTCCCAAGGTAGGGAAACAGGGGATGAACACACCAGACCTGATGGTGACCCTGACTGAAAATCCTCTGGAGACCAAGAAGGTCCCTGCTGGTTGTGGGGATACCAGGATGGATGTCCACTTAGAACCAGGTGGGGAGACAGGGAGATATGCAGTGTGCCATTCCAGAAAGTCACATTCTTGTGCACTGTGCCATTCCAGAAAGTCACATTCTTGACTGAAGGCAGCAAAAGGAGCTGGGTGGGGAGTTTCTCTGCTGAAAGCCCACCCCTGAGCTGTCCCTTAACCTCCCTTGTCATGCACCTGGAGAAGGTGTGTGGTGGTTGGAGAATCTTCTCTGCAAGCCCATGGCTTCCACCTGCTGGAGCACTGGACCCTTCCCATAACTGAAACCTCCCTGAAAACCACGTTGGCTTCAACAGACCTGCACTGACTGCAACACAGGGCCCAATTTCCCTGGAAAAAAGAAACAAACCAGTCTTCCTCCATCCCTTCTCTGTTTATGAAATTCCAGCATGGCAAGAGCGTTCTGAGCAGCTTTGTTGTTTTTCAAAACAGAAGTCCTGGGGATCAAACCTTTCTTTTTATTCCTGAGACTCCATCTGAAGGTCAAGAGCTTGTGGGGCGATGTAAGGCCACAGCAGTGTGATGAGGCAGTGTGACATTAATCCCCCTGTGTTGTCTTGCCTGATTAACCCTCACGCCAGTCTCCATCACTGCATGACACCGAGCAACACCAAAAGTGCTGTGCTCATGTGTGGTTTTTTTTGTCGTGCAAAGCACTTGACAGGGCAAATATCCAGGTCACAGGAAAGCCACAGGGGAGTAGCTGCCCCACAAATATAACAAAAGGCTCACCATTGCTAAGGAAATGACACCAATATATGTGGAAAATGAATGTTGCACCCAACCTGCTGACAGCTCTCCGGTGGCTGTTGGGCACCTTAGCCATGAAGGAGCCCAGTGCTTCCCTGTTGAAATCAGCTGGGGAATTGATTTTTGGAAGCTGGCTATCCTCCTCTGGGCCATGCCAGCAGGTAACCCCACTGAATGGAAACATCTGGAATCACAGACATTCCTTTCAAAGCTTTAAAGCAAAATTCCTACTTCATGTATATCATGCATTTCCAAGTTTGTTTCTACTTAAAGGTATTTTTCACAAGCATTTCCTTCCCATCCTTCTAACACAAATTTAAGTTAATCCTACTGTTGTAGTGTTGCCCCTATGTGACTTGCATGGGTGATATAGAGTATTGTTGAACATGGGAAAAGATGTTACAGGTCTTAAACCTTGGACAATAACAGTGTGCAAAGGATGGTACAAATATCTGCATATGAGTTTAAGAAGTCATTTATTCAGCTGATCACAACACGTGGCATTAAAATGTACAAAAGTGCTATGGATGCTGTGTTAGAAACGAGCCCTAGTATGAAATGGAAGTGTAAAAAGGCCCCAGTCCTGTAGTGGTTGTAGTAAAGAGAACCAAAACTGTTGGTCTGTGGCAGTCCCTGGAGCTGACTCATATAAGCACAACAGTCAGCCCCGAGTTTGCCCTGAAGGATTTGTTAAATCTGAGCTGTCTGTCTCATCTGACCCTCCTTGCTTAGTTGTGTAACCAGCATGCTTTTATTTGTTCTCCACACCAGCTTGTTCCATAAATGTGCACTGAAGTACAAGGTTTTTTTACAGTGATGACAAATTATCCAACGCATCTGTTTCATATCTGTTTTCTCTTTGGTGGGAGCAGCCCATTGGTGCCTGGAATCTTGTTCCTCCAGAAAGATATCCAGGATATCTAAAGCATCCCTGGGTAAAAACACTGTGAGATTTCCCTTTCTTTTTTACGATGAAGTGGAATGTGTACATCCCAACTGAAAATGACTGAGTAAAACCAAGCCTAAGCACCCCTAAATTTTCCTCGATGGAAAAATAAATCCTGGAGCTCCTTGAAATTCTGAACCCTGGTGATCTCCTCCAAGCCAACACTGGCCATTGAGTTGGTGCTGGGGAGTGATGGTGACTTGGAGACCTTCTCCTTTGCCGCTGGAATTGCAGCATTATTTGAACCACCTGGCTTATGAAAACATGTACTAGGAAAACAACTAAATCTGCAAAAAATAAATAATTTACTGGCAGTGCTGGTTAATAGCAAAGACCCCGAGTTTATTCCCAGCCTTGCTAAAGCACATGCCAGCTTTTCTTCTGGTTTCACCTTTGGCTTTCAAAAAGTTGAGAGCTGACTGAGAGAGATTTCCAAATATCACTTGTCAGTCATTTGCAAATAATCTGAAATTTGAGTTCTTAACGTGAGTGGGGAGTAATAGCATGGAAACATCCGAGTATGCTTTGGGGTCTTTTCCCCCCTCCTCTTTTTTGCATGCTTCACATTGGTGATGTTGATGGTAAAATTAGTTGAGCAAAAGGAATAAGAGCAGGCACCAGAGCATTTTGGGTCTGCTTTGGTAAGTCTCACAGCAAAAATATTCCCCCTCAACACCACATTCATGCCATGTGCCAGCTTTGTTCGGTGTGTATATATTCTCAGCAAATGCTTGTGACCACCTGAGTACAGTCACAGCAACTAGAGTTGGATAATTGTGTCATGACTGATTTCATCACCCTTTTTTAACCTGATTCTGCATTCCTTGATTGAATATCCAGAATCTATATGAAAAATACAGACCAGACCCCTCTGGCAATAATCAACCCACCTTTGTGCAAAAGATTTAAAGTGACACAATTTTTGCGTGGCCTGTGTTGAGAACTGTGTGGGTCAGCCTGCTAGACACATAAATTGAGGTGGATGCTGGCAGCTGGTCAAAGAAAAATAACTAAAACCTTTTCAATTGTTTCTAACAAATGCATTTTAAATAATAGTTATTCATGGTGGGAGAAGCCCATATATTCAGCCTCTGTGTTTAACTCAGCAAAAAAGCAGAATTGTGACAGAGAAGCTGAAACTTTCCTTGCACCCAGTAAATGCTGGCTTTTTTCCTCCCAAAAAATAGAGGGCAGCAATGATAAAAACCTCCTCACCCTCTACCTTCAGCAGGAATTGCCACCAAAGCCCACCTTTTTCTTTTGGCTCCTGTCTAAATATTTGGACAGGACTGGCCACTGATGGAACGTATCTAGATTTCCAAAGACTGTGTTTTACCAAGGTTTCTCCTTGCGTGCCAGTAATGCCGACCCCCCTGTTGCTACAGCCACGGGCTCGTGTTGTGTCCACTCAAGCCCTCCCTTGATGGGTGGTGGGTGCTACTGGGTGGGGCCTGAGAGCTCATATTCAATCAGAATGCAGAACTAAGAGGCAAAAGTCACCTCCTCAGTGATCACATTATTTTGTTTTCTCATTTTCGTGTTTCTCACTGGTTTTCCAAGAAACATGTCAGAACACTGTTAAAACTGCATGTAATCACCCATTTTAATGCTTTCACCTTTTGCATTTCTTTTTTTTAAAGCTCAAGAGTCCGCTGACCTTATTTTCCTTATTGACGGATCAAACAACATCGGAGGTGTCAATTTTCCAGCCATACGCGATTTCCTTGTAAATTTGATTGAAACCCTCAGAGTTGGAGCTCAGCAGATACACATTGGGGTGGTGCAGTATAGTGATCAACCCAGAACCGAGTTCGCTTTGAACAGCTACTCCACAAAAGCGGATGTCCTGGATGCCGTGAAGGCACTCGGCTTCCGCGGGGGCGAGGAAGCGAACACCGGTGCGGCACTGGAGTTTGTGGTGGAGAACCTCTTCACCCAGGCGGGAGGCAGCAGGATAGAGGAAGCGGTGCCTCAGATTTTAGTGCTGATAAGTGGTGGAGAGTCTAGTGATGATATCCGAGAGGGCTTGTTAGCGGTGAAGCAAGCTGGTATATTTTCGTTTAGCATTGGGGTCCTGAATGCTGACAGTGCAGAGCTGCAGCAGATTGCTACTGATGGAAGCTTCGCCTATACTGCCCTGGATATCCGTAACCTTGAGGCTCTTCAAGAATTAATACTGCCCAACATTGTTGGAGTGGCCCAAAGACTCATTTTGTTAGCGGCCCCAACCATTGTGACTGAAGGTACGTATGCCTTTCTAGACCCTTGCATTTCGGTGAATCGATGAATGATTGAGCTTTTGCACGCTTTACGAGCATATTTAAAGCTTAAAGTGTTTTTAGTTTTTTTTTTCCAATTAATCTCTCTGATCTGATTACAGAGAAACCATGTTTCTGCGCAGAAACTGATTGACCCATTGGGTTGTCTCTCAAAAACCTCAAAATCTCCTGTTGCAATAACTGGCATGACATGGGGTGTTTTAAAAGACGAATATTAAAAAAAAGGGTATAATAAAAAAAATCTCATATAATCCTTACTGAGATATCTGTAGCTGTGGAAAGGGGTTTTAACCCTTTAAGTGCAGTGGAAATAAGATGCACAGCTACATGGTCATCTTTCATGACAGGAAGAAAGAGACAAGTTTATTCAGAAACACACTTGGTTTTATAGCATGACTCACAATTCCAAGAGTAGAGAAAAGATGATTGGTTCAGAGAGAAGGCACCCCATTCCCAGGGCCTGGTCACACACCACAACAGGTGTTCTACATTTGTTATTAATTCCTTTTTATTTTGACCAAATTATCATCCTGGGAGAAATTCTCCCTAGCCTTGAGCTGGCCCAGCTTATCGGCTGGGAACAGAGCTGAAAAGCTCCAGCCTGGAATATTTTTCAGGCTGTAATTTTCTTACTTTCTCAATATGTGTCCCACAGATATCTAAGCACCCTGGGAGTAAACACTGCAACACTGCCAGTTGCAAAAAGATTTACGCCATGTAAGCTTACGTTATATGTCAATTGGAAGTGTCATGACCATAAAATGTGTCTGAGGAAGGTAACAGGAATGCTAAACGGATCCCTACATACCAGAGTTGAAATTACCTCCTTGCTAAAACAGTAAAATTGTGCAACTCACTGAAGCTCTGGGCTGCCCTTGGTAAAATTCCTGTTGTTGAACTTTAAAACTGAGCAGCCCTTAGTTCTTCTGAAGTGAAATCCCTACCTTTGATTAATCAGCTGAGATAGTTTACAGCTTTCCATGAGGCCATGGGGATTAAAAATACAGGTGTTAATATTCCACTTAGGTCACTTTGTTACCCATAAGTCCCACTGACATTATTTCTGGACAAGCATCAGCTCAGGTGCGGTAAAATAATGAATATCTGGATTTATGGGGCAAATAGGCGATTTATGCAAGACACAATATTGCATATTGCAGAGGAGCTGCTGCACTTAATTAACAGGATGTTTAATGCAAACAGCACTTTTGGGATCCCGTTGTCAGTCTGGAGTTCTGTACACACTGTTCCTCATCGTGTATGTTGACATATAAAACTGCATTCCAGATGTCTTCACTGATCCATGCCTAAACATGATTGCTATCCTGTGGCTCAAATCAAAGGGTGGAATTTGCCTTAAAGATCGTTTTATGACCTTGCCTTGATTATTCTAGGAAAGAACATTAAGAACTTTTTCTTGTAGCACCCTACAAGAACTGTATTTAGCCAAATAATATGAAGTCAGCATCTGTAGCTAGAATGTGTGTGCTGGGATCTGTGGAACTCAGAGAAAAATCTCTTTCCTCCTGTCTGATTTTTAACAGTTTGAATGGCAAGATTAAAAAAAATTTGGTCCATTTTGTTTCATCTGCACTTGCATATTTCTCACTTAAAGTGCCAGCTCGTTTGTGGAAGGTGCTTTGTCAGCCTGTACAGTTACATAGAGATGGATGTGCTAAATGGGGAAGTCGATTCTTTTCAAAGGAGCTTTAGGGAATTTCCTACCCCTGGCACCCATGGAAATCAATTTTGACTGGTTTGCTTGATTCACATCAATAGCTTGGAAGGCTGCAGTGTAAAGCAGTTCGGGAGAGGCTGCAGCCCAAAAGGGATGCCAAACCCTCGGAGATGCCAAGCACTCCTATGAAATACTGAAGTCATCTCACTTCACTTTAGCTTGCCAGCTGTTCATCCTGGGATGAAGGGGTGTTACAAAGTGGCTTTCTGCTCCTTCACCTGCTGGGGGAACCTGGGTGATAAAGTTAGATGAGGTGCTTCACCAGACAGCTGACACGTCAATGAGGATGGAACTACGCAGGACTGGGTTCAGCGCTGACACCCTCCAACACTCTCAACTCTGAGAGTAAAAGATACAATGCTTTGATCCCAAATCCTTTGAAATTCTTGGGAGATTTGCCATCAGCTTTACAGGGCTCTGGATTAAACCCTAGGAGATGTGCACAGCCCTGCTTAAAGGCTTTTGCATTAATTGTGTCCGTGCAAACCATAACCGTGGGTTATTTCTTCCTGTGTGTTTTGGGTTTGGTTCTTGCATTCCTCTGAGGAAAAATACTGCAGGATTTGAGAGCTGCAACAGGAATGAGAAGCAGAGGGAACTCTTCCTTCCCAGCCTCCCTCATCTTTCCAAAGCCCCTTTGATGTTTCCCCCAAAAGCCAAAAGTTTCCAGGCTCTCCACTTTTGGGTTTCTAGCTGCTGACACGCTAAGGACGTGCTTTGGACATTTCTCCTGGGTCATTCAAAGCAGCAATGTCAGCCCTTGCTATCCATTTGGAAAGGTTCCTCTTTCCAGCTCTCTCCTCCTTGGAGTAACTGAAGAGGAAAAAAAGCCTGGCTGGAGGGATGAATGCTGGAAATCATGGCTCTGGGGAAAGGGATCATTTAAACAAATGCTCGTTGCTTTGTGAGTAGCTCCGTTCTGACAGCCTGGGCAGCCAATTGCAGACCACTGGCAGCTCACTTGAGGTTGTGGCTTGAGGAGGGCACCACCACATTTGCTTTGTGCATGTCCTCATCGTTTTGTGCCTGACAGTGCCATGGCAGGCAATTTTAAACTTCCATATTTTTACAACTGGTCCTTAATGACGCTATTTCTATCACGACTCGATGAGAGATGTTTGCAAAGGTTCACACTTGGTGATGCAGGCAGGTCTTTCGGGATCTGAGGGCAGAGGGGCAGCCGAGTCACAGATGTCATCCCCAGCTCCCAGTCACCCCTCAGGGCAGCCCAATCTCGTGGCACTCACAGTGACAAACCTGACGGCACCCAGCCTTTGGGAGCGCTGCTAGCCATGGCCAGCTGGTGTCTGGCCAAGGAGGACTGCGGCCAAAGTTTTGTTCTTTGTTGAAATCCAAAGTAAACAGCCTCCATGCAGAGGAGCCCTGACGGGCTGGGGGCTGCTCTTCTCCATCCAGGCAGGGCAAGGCCGTGTTTGCTACTGCTTGCCCTGAGGGGTGTGAGACCCCCACACCCCACGGGGCTGGGTGTCCTCTCCCCCCAGGCTGTGCACGGGGTGTGGCAGTAAGCCTTGGAGGTGATGGACCTGCCCACTTGAATCCTGAACCCATCTCAGGAGCTCTTAGGTGGGTGGCTGATTTAAGGATATCCCAAGTCCAACATCACACAATGATCTACAGTGCTCCAGCATAACTTGGAAGCAACAGAAAGTTTCCTTTCTCACGCCAGTGGCATGAAATCAGGGAGGTGATGATGTGAGAGGATTTGTCTAAAAGATGGTATTAAGATTAGGCACCATGATAATCATGTATAATGCTGTTAACACAATCATACTGGTCTTGTTAATACCTACCTTTAAAAAATATATATTTGCTGTATTAAATATCATGATGCTTTGGTTCCAGTGCCACACAACAGGGTTTTTTTCCTCCCTAACTATTTTTCTTCAAACTTAGCCAGGGCACTGGAGATCTAATTGTGCCCTTTCTGTGTCCTGGGTCATCGTCAATAATAAAGTTTCAAAAGTTACAAGCCAGGGAACCTGTTTGTTAAAGACATGACCACCAGAACATAATCCAGCTCCTGCATGGCTGGGCCAGCTGTGCCAAGAAAAAACATAACTTGTTTTTGTCAGATAAGGAATAAGATTTAGGATGCAAAGACCCAAAATCCAGGTATGTTGAGTAGGTGGAGACTGTTCTTTCCTTGTGTTGTTGCTCTCAGGAACCTAATACTTCTCATACCAAACCACAACCATTCAAGTGGTTCCTATGCAGATAGAAGGAGCATCACCTGCTTATTTTATCTCATGTGCCCTCTGAGTGTCAAGATTTCTCCTTACTGCCTTTCATTCTTGCTTTGTCATGTGCATGTATTTTAATATTCAAGTGTGTAAAAATCACAGTTTTTGTAACTCTTCGGTGTTTTAGAAAGGGGAAACAGTCAGACTTACTATTAGTCCTCTGCTAGAGCCTAAAAAAGTTTCTGTTTGGAAAGCAAGACCTTTTTAAAGGCTTTGAGAGTAACAGCAAACAAAGAGGTCCTGCACGTGTCTGAGCTGTTGACATAGAATTGATGCAGAGTGTTTTTTTGAAGGCTAACATGATGTTCCTGTGTTACTTGCAGTTATTGAAGTGAACAAGAAGGATATAGTCTTCCTGATAGATGGCTCAACTGCTTTGGGGCCCGCCCCCTTTAACGCAATTCGTGATTTCGTTGCCAAAATTGTCCAAAGGCTGGAGGTTGGACCCGACCTGATCCAAGTGGCGGTGGCACAGTACGCAGACACTGTGAAGCCAGAGTTTTATTTTAACACCCACCAGACTAGAAAAGATGTGATGGCCAATGTGAGGAAGATGAAGCTGATGGGTGGCACGACACTCAACACTGGCTCGGCACTGGACTTTGTGAGGAACAACTTCTTCACCAGTGCTGCCGGGTGCAGGATGGAGGAAGGGGTGCTGCCCATGCTGGTGCTCATCACTGGGGGTAAGTCCAGGGATGCTGTGGACCAAGCTGCAGGGGAGATGAAAAGGAACCGGATCGTGACCCTTGCTGTTGGGTCCAGAAACGCTGACCTGGCAGAGCTCCAAGAAATTGCTCACGAGAGAGATTTCGTGTTCAACCCGAACGACTTCCGCCTTCAGTTCATGCAAGCCATCCTTCCCGAAGTGCTGTCACCTATCCGGACACTCTCTGGAGGAGTGATTGTCCCAGAGGCACCACCAGGTAATTAGTGGCCTTTTTCTAATTAAGGAGGTGTGGTTTATAAGTTTGCCAATTCTTATTCTATAACGTGTAGAGATAATGGGGTAAAACACATCAAATGCATGTTCCAGCCTGGTTAAATGTGAGTGCATGAACAGGTCAGTGAACGTGGGAGCATGGTTGTTGTTACAGCTTTATCCCTTGTTAGAGCTTTATTCCTTCCTGGAGATTTTTGTCCTGTTCTGATTTTGTCACCAACATTTTAAGGTCTGGATGTAAAAGATGTGCTTTACTGGTTAGGTACCCCAATTGTTCAGTGGAGGCTTTTGCTCTTCTTAGGGTCTGTGCAGCCTATGAATGGACACCTGTGAATGTTAAAATTCTCTTCCTCAGGTTGGGAATCATCCATAGTGGGTGTTTGCTCAGGAAAGTAGAGGTTTCTTCGGGGTGTAAAGAACATAAGCCAGTTTGTTTGTGGAGACGTTCAGAGCTGACATTGTTGGACTGAAACTCACGCTTTAAGAACATATTTCATTTTCTTATGATTTACTCAGCTCAAGCCCTAAGAGGCATGCAAGGATATTTCAGTGTTGATTTTCATTTAATCTGTTTGGACAACGATCCAAAGTTCCACAAAGCCAGTGGACTCTTTTTATTTGTCCTTGCCATTGACATCAGTAGACTTTGGAAGAAACCAACTGACAGGCTCTTGTCTTTTGAGGAAGTTCCCCCTGCATTTCAAGAGATGTTCCAGGTGCATAGAGATTTTATACCAAATTTCTCAGGATTTCTTCACAATAAAAATGCTTGAGGTGAAATCCATGTTGCACTAGATCATATTTGAACCTTGCATTTCTGTCTCATGGCATATGAACACTAGAAAACCAGGATTTCTTCCAGCTCCTAGTAAGATCAATAATGAGGTTCCCATTGGCTTAAGTAGCTGTTGAATCGTGTCCATATTTTTTCTAGTTTCTCACCTAATTTAAAATTATAAACTGCAGTGGAAAATAAACAGAATATTTGGAAAGAATCCTGAAAGAATTAAAGCATGTGTCTGATTTACGTGAAAAGAAGACGTTTTGAAATCAGTTTGCCAATATATGTCCTTAATGAAGATGAAAATCACAGGACTTATCATTTAATAAGCTTTGTTGCAGAGTGTGTTTCCAGCTAATACAGTTTTGCATGGCTATACACCAAACCTGATGTGTTTATTTTTCAATGTAAATTGAAAATGTTCCTGTGTTTTCTTGTTCTTTAAAGGTCATTCATGCAGCTTCTCTATTTTTCCAATCTTTTTTTTGTGCTCACAGCTTTCACACACATAATAAGCAAGGGATAGTATCCTACCCCTACAAATTATTATTGGTAGTAACAAACCTGATTTTGACACCGGGCAGTTGCATTTTAACTGCTTTATTGTCTCACCCTGGGCCTTGAATGTCACTTTTCTGGGAAAATTTTAAAAATACAGAAAGCCAAGACAATCTGTAAAATCTGAAAGCCGCCCCTGTGTTCCAAGGAGCCCTTTATTTCCTTTTTGTTCTGAATAGCTCAGTATTTATATATTTGGTATAAAGGACAGCAAGCTTACAGGGACAAAGCAAGCTAGAGAATGGATTAATCTAGCCAGAAATGCTTTAAGCAGAAATATAATGGGCAGAGTTATCAATGGGCATAAATAATATAATATAATAACTCATTTGGAGGAAGACATCTAGGGGGATGCCTTGGATGACATCAGTTCTCTGATGTTTTATTTAAAAGCTTGGCATTTTGGTCTGTGATCAGGACGTGTTCAGAGCCAAAAAAGACCACAGGGTGATGACCCTGTGGTGTCTTTGGGGTGTAGACCTATGTCCTGGAGCTCAGATGCTTGCAGATAGCCCAGGAAGGATTTAACCTTAAAAAAAGGAACCAAGAGCTGGCTGCTTACTGCCAAAAGTGGGAAATTTCTCCCCCTTCAACAGCCCACGAAAGGGATGTCTATAACAACAGACCGTAAAGTGCAGAGGTCAAGAAGGCAGGTATCCTCAGGGAGCTGTTGGACCTGACTTTTAAAAGAGTTGCTAATCCTTCCCTGCCCAATTCAGTCATTTCCAGCAAGGTCCTTGTTACTTCTGTGCTGATCACACCCTTGCTCCTCTCTCTCTCTCTCTCTCTCTCTCTCCTCCCTCACACGGTTCACATGCGTGTACGGCATATGCTGCATGCACACATGATAAAAAAAAATCCCTCATTTTTGTTTTCTGTGATGTCTCATGTTGTTTTCTGTGCTCTACTGCAGTTCAAGTAACCAAAAGGGATATCATCTTTCTTTTGGATGGATCACTCAACGTCGGAAATGCCAACTTCCCCTTTGTGCGGGACTTTGTTGCCACCCTAGTTAACTACCTTGATGTCGGCAGTGACAAAATTCGAGTTGGCTTAGTGCAATTTAGCGACACCCCCAAAACCGAGTTCTCCCTGTACTCCTACCAAACCAAATCTGACATAATCCAGCGCCTGGGGCAGCTGAGGCCCAAGGGGGGGTCGGTGCTGAACACTGGCTCTGCGCTGAACTTTGTGCTCTCAAATCACTTCACGGAGGCCAGTGGGAGCAGAATAAATGAACAAGTGCCCCAGGTCCTAGTCCTGGTGACAGCAGGGAGCTCTGCTGACCCCTTCCTCCAAGTTTCCAATGAATTAGCTCGGGCCGGAGTGCTGACTTTTGCTGTTGGCGTTAGGAATGCGGATAAGGCAGAACTCGAACAGATTGCCTTTAATCCAAGAATGGTGTATTTTATGGATGATTTCAGTGCTCTGGCAGATTTACCCCAGGAGTTAAATAAACCTATAACAACATATGTTAGTGGAGGTGTGGAAGAGGTTCCACTCGCCCCAACAGGTAATACCTACCTTCCTGCATGCTGACTGCATGAAGTTAAACTTGTTTAAGTGAATTTCTTGTTTCCATTGTACAGCTTGGCAAGTGTCCAAGCCCTGAGTCATCAAAGTGGTTATGGCTGTGCTTAACTTGATGATCTTTAAGGTCCCTTCCAAACCAGACCGTTCTACGATTCTATGAATGCATGGCCTGACACTGGCAGCTCTTAATTTTGTTCAAGTCATGGCCACCACACCTCAAAAGCACGGGTTTAAGTCTTTTGGTAGGTCAGGACCAAAGAAGGACCTGAATGTGTCTGTGCCCACCAGTCACTGACTCTGGTGCTCCCTTGCTGTTCCCATAATAGGGCCACAACCTCTAAATGCATCATGTGCACTGAATCAGGCAATGGGAGCATGAGATTTTTGACCACAAGAAGTGGTGTGGAAAAGTTAAATTCATGCCAAACAGCAGAGGAGCAGAGGTCTAGCCGGGAGCAGGTGGACAAATCCATACCCAGAAGCGCTTCTGGTCAAAGTGATGTCATCAGGCTGTCATAGAGGCTGGATTTGACTCCAGAAATTCAAAGTTACCCTCCAATAGTAAACCCAAAGACTTTTGGCAAGTTTAACCCTTTTTAAGCAGGTATTTTCTAACGAATTTCATTATTGTGGCTATGTGCCCGTGAAGACATAAGAACAACTGGGATGGGTTAGTATGGAAAGGAGACCATTAAGATTAATATGAAGGTACAAGAAGCTTGGGTTTGCCTTGGGTATTCAGTGAGATCAAAAGGGCATAAAATCGAAACAGGTGAAAGGCTTTTATGGCTTTAGATGCTCCTTGTGATGCAAGTGGGAGAAGATCCAGAAAATGCTTTGTATACGTGTGCATGAACTGTCTGTTTGTTGTCTACTGAGCCTTTAAATAGGGGAGAAAAACCCCTAACCAATGCTCCACTACTGCTTTACTTCATGTCTGTATTGTCAACATATTGCTAGATCTTAAACATCATCAAATCAGCCAATTCATGATGTGATCTGATGTTGCACAGTATATGATATTTCCATCTGGTGCCCGAATTTATTGGGTCTTAGGATAGACATGTCCTTGCTTCCCTTTCTTCAGATGCTGTGTAGTTCTGTAGACTGTGAATACTTTGGTAAATGAGAATATTGAAAGACTGAAACCCAGCTAACTTGTAGACGATTTTCTAGGATGACATATAAAAAGAAAAATGCTTTAATTTCTTCCCCCCCCCCTTCCCTTTTCATTTGTGACTTTATTCTAGAAAGCAAGAAAGATGTTTTATTCCTGATTGATGGCTCAAGCAACCTCTTGGGCAGCTTTCCTCCCGTCCGGGATTTTGTACACAAAGTAATTTCTGACCTGAACGTGGGCTCTGACGCCACGCGAGTCGCTGTAGCTCAGTTCAGTGACACCGTCCAAGTTGAATTTGACTTTGATGAATACTCATCCAAGCAAGATATGCTCGGCAAAGTGAAAAGGATGAGGCTTAAAAGTGGGAAGCAACTGAACATTGGAGCTGCACTTGACGAAGCTATACGAAGGCTGTTTGTGAAGGAAGCTGGAAGCAGGATCGAAGAAGGGGTTCCTCAGTTTTTGGTCCTCCTTGTTGCTGGGAGATCAACTGATGACGTGGAGGATCCATCAGATGTTCTGAGGCATGCTGGAGTTGTAACCCTTGGGATCAAAGCCAAAAATGCCGACCCCACAGAGTTGCAAAGGATTGTTTATGCCCCGCACTTCCTTCTGAACGTTGAATCCCTCCCACAGATTTCAGAGCTTCAGCCAAACATAGTTAACCTGCTGAGAACAGTCCAGCTTCAGCCAACAGGTACAGGGAGCCTGGGGATTTCCAAGAGGCTAAAAGACATGTCTTATGTGCCCCACTCAATTGGTAACTGGAGCATTTGGGTCTGGTGCTGTTTAAAATAATTGTGTAGAAGCTGCTGTTGTGCTTGGAGTTTCCTCTGCTCTCACTCTGATCCAGAAAATTGTGAAGTGCCAAACCAAATTTTAATGATAAGTGGGGAAAATGCCTTTGTTCAGCTGCAAGACCTGCAGCTGGTGCTGTTTCCAGTGTGTAGAACACGGGACAAACCTGAAATAACAGGACATTGTTGCCCCAGAGATGTTGCATTAATCGATGTGCAATGCTGGGCAAGGGCTGAAAGAAGCAATTACTGGCTTGTCTCAAATTCTCTTGCCATCTTCCCTTTTCTGGAGGAGTGGAATCCAGCACACTGGATTCACCCTTGCTCTGTTATTTCTTCCAGGATATGATGGCAGTTTCTACATTTTCTACATACACACCAATAAATCAGATGCTCTTGACTCAGTTACCACTCAATCTCAATAGATGAGATGGATTAATGAAAGAATAATTTTTTAAAAAATTTTCAAAAGGATCACATGGCCACAACAATAAATTCACACTGCAGTACTGGAAATTATGCATGTCCAGCTGTGTTATTTTCTGATGCAGCCCTAACTGGAGCATTAGCTCATCTCCCAACAGGAGGTGGAAACAAGGAAAAGTATAATAATTATCCATATCTCCATAAAGGGGCAGATGGACTTAGAATCATAAAAACATAGAAGAGAAATAGGGCTGGAAGGAATCTCAGGGTGCCATCTGCTACACGCCCTTGTCCCAGGCAGGGTCTCTTTGCCCAGAACTAGATGACATTGATCTAATCTGTTCTGGAAACCCTTTGGGGAAGACTTCCCAGATTCCATAACCACTCTGTTCAATTTCTTCTGTCAGACCCCACTTTCCCTTCAAGTCACACTTCTGTCTCCCTAGTCACAGTTCAAGCCTTCCACATCTCCTTCAACCTGAGGAGGACACAAATGCCAGCTCGCTCCCGAATTTTGCGTGGCAGCTTTTTCATCTGCTTTAGGCTTGACATGTAGGTCTTGTCTCGGTCCTTGTGTCACCAGCTGTGCACCCAGCTCATTCAATCCTTCCTTGTAGGTCTTGTAGGTTTTCTTCTATATTTTCACCCTTGTCTCCCCGATATCAGACTGCTCCAAATGACCAGAGTGTGACAATGGCATCCCCTGGTCATCTCTTACCCCATCCTTTCCATGTGGATTCATGACCCTTCCCATATTTGTGCAGCTTCTGTCTCAATCAAGACTTGTGTAATCAGTGCACTTGAATTCCATCCTCACTTTTAGAACCATTTCTGTCTTGCCCAGACCATTTGGAATCCCTTTGACCACCAAGGACTATTAATAATTGTGCTATTGGCTCAGAGATAGCTGTATCCACCCAGTTTTCCTAGTACTCTTGGCTAAAAGACACCCATTCCATAGGAGCAACCATATTTTTTTCTTCTTTATCTGCTATACAGGGACTTTTAATAGGACTTTTCCATTGTTGCTGAGCTTTAGAGGAAGCATATGAAACTGGGATACACCAGGCAATGTCTGCTCCCTCTTCCCATCTACATTAATATTCCTGTCCTATGCATTAACCCACCAGGTTTCCAACAATCCTCTTAAGAAATAAATTTGATCTGAAGTCTGCATTAAGAATTCAACGGCCCTTGTTGACCCTTTATATGGCTGAGCATTTATAAGTAGGTAATTAATATTTTCTTCAGAGGGGCCGATCATGCTCCCACTTGTCCCACTGGACCTTGCTCTAAACAAGCCAACAGCACTTTTTGGGATGTCCTCCAGCAGTTGCTGTTTTTGAGAGGCAATGATGTTTTCTACTTGGCCAAGATAAAACTTTGCAATTCTGTTGGTCAGTAGCACAACAGGTCAAAGTTCTCTGATATTTGACACTTCATGGTCTTGATTTTGAGGTTTTTTGTTTGTTTCTTTGTGGGTTGTTTGTTTTTTTTTTTTTTTAAGAAGAGTATTTTGGTTGCAATTAGCATGTTTTTTTCCTGCCTGAAGATAGTAAAGAAAAAAACCCCAAAGATCAGTATCTAGCAATTCAGAAGAGCATTTCAGCATTTTCAGCTGGATGTCCTCTTGTCCTCCAGCAATTTCTTACATTTTTTTCAGAAGTGTTTGTTTCTAAGTTTAGTAATGCATCAGAAAAGCTTTTCTCTTTCTCTCCTCACCATCTCCCCATATCATCCAGAAACTCATTATTTCTTGGGAACAAAAGATCCAAGGCTCCTGTTGCATATTGCAGCATGTCACCCTCCCATGCCCCCTCTGGGAGCTGTTGGCTTCTCCCAGCCACGAGTAGGAGATGGCACCCAGAAGTCCCTTGGCACCCTATTTCCTGTGGGTCTATGATTCTGTGACTCGGTGGGTAACGCATGGAATGTTGGTTTCCACCAACTTCCACCCAACTGCCTCCTCACCAGGGATTGCATCCAGTGGCAAAGGAACTGAACCACCTTTCCTGACACCTCGTCTTCCCCTCCCTTTGAGAGCTTTGCACTGCTTTGCTTCCATGCATGAGGAGAACCACTCCTCATTAGCCACTGCAAAAGAGAATCTCACTTTTCCTCCCCTTCCCTTATTTGTTTCAAACAGTAGTTGAGAGAGGCGAGAAGAAGGACGTGGTGTTCCTAATCGATGGCTCGGATGGTGTCAGAAGAGGTTTCCCTCTGCTGAAGACGTTTGTCCAAAGAGTCGTGGAGAGCCTGGACGTTGGCCGCGACAAGGTGCGCGTGGCCGTGGCGCAGTACAGCAACACCATCCAGCCCGAGTTCCTGCTTGACACCTACGAGGACAAAGCAGATCTGGTCAGCGCCATCCAGCAGCTGAAGCTCATGGGAGGCTCTCCTCTGAACACTGGGGCAGCCCTCGACTATCTCATCAAGAACGTGTTCACGGTGTCAAGCGGCAGCAGGATAGCGGAGGGCGTCCCGCAGTTCCTGATCCTGCTGACTGCTGACAGGTCCCAGGACGATGTCAGGAGGCCTTCAGTGGTCCTGAAGACGAGCGGCACGGTGCCGTTCGGCATTGGGATCGGAAATGCCGACCTCACAGAGCTGCAGACCATTTCCTTCCTCCCAGATTTTGCTATCTCTGTGCCCGACTTCAGCCAGCTGGATTCGGTGCAGCAGGTCGTCTCCAACAGAGTCATCCGGCTGACCAAGCAAGAGATAGAATCTCTTGCCCCTGACCTGGTTTTTACATCACCCAGCCCAGGTGAGAAGATGTTTGTGTCTGCACTGAGAACCAGTGGCAAAATAGGATGTTTAGTAACATCATGGCTGCAACACAAACTGAGAAAAGCAAAGATGGTCACGGCTAAGACTCTGAGTCTGTCGTGGTCTCCCTGTTGGTGTTTTCAGGGTTGGTAGGAGCTGTGTAATTAAACTGAGCCACCTTTAAGCCCAGCCCCTCAAGGTGGTCTGTGAAAGACCCACAAAGTGAATGCTATTGCCTTAATCTAATTTTAAGTGGATGGATTTTAAGTCCATGCTGTTCCTTCTGGAATGGAAATGGTGTCATTTAGTGTGGCATTAGGTGTGTGCCACACCTTCACACCACTATAAATCAAGGTCAACTTTCTGCTAAACGTAAGACATGCTGATTTTTCCTACTTTTGCCTCCCTCATTCACTGAGGAAAGGGAAATTGGAAGCAGGCATTGGGAGAAGGATCAGATTTTACATTTCTGGTCTCCCTTGGAATGAAATCCAGTACAACTAGGATGAAGAGTATCCACCCCGGATCAGTCCCTTAGAAATTCACTGTTCTACTCTGTTTGTTCATTCCCTTCTAAGGCAGACCGCTTTCCTATATCCCCACTTATCAGTGTGTTATTCTGCAATAATTCAGGCTCTGAATTACCTGAACTACCACTGCAGAAAACACTTTATTAGGAATCAAAAAGACATCCTGAAAAGGCAGAAGCTTAGAGAATAATAGGATAGAATCTTTCCTAGAGGGCAAAGCCAAAGAAAGGGGTGGTTCTGAATGTAAAGCAACCTGTCCTGAGTAAGGACTACCACCAGGCTACACTTTCTTGGGGGGAGATCTCATAAGGAATTATTGTTATGGGTGTCCCATTGCTCCCTCTCGCTTCCTTTGCCCTGGAAGTTGCTGTTCTTGCACCCCCTGAGATGTGCCTANTATGCTGCATGCACACATGATAAAAAAAAATCCCTCATTTTTGTTTTCTGTGATGTCTCATGTTGTTTTCTGTGCTCTACTGCAGTTCAAGTAACCAAAAGGGATATCATCTTTCTTTTGGATGGATCACTCAACGTCGGAAATGCCAACTTCCCCTTTGTGCGGGACTTTGTTGCCACCCTAGTTAACTACCTTGATGTCGGCAGTGACAAAATTCGAGTTGGCTTAGTGCAATTTAGCGACACCCCCAAAACCGAGTTCTCCCTGTACTCCTACCAAACCAAATCTGACATAATCCAGCGCCTGGGGCAGCTGAGGCCCAAGGGGGGGTCGGTGCTGAACACTGGCTCTGCGCTGAACTTTGTGCTCTCAAATCACTTCACGGAGGCCAGTGGGAGCAGAATAAATGAACAAGTGCCCCAGGTCCTAGTCCTGGTGACAGCAGGGAGCTCTGCTGACCCCTTCCTCCAAGTTTCCAATGAATTAGCTCGGGCCGGAGTGCTGACTTTTGCTGTTGGCGTTAGGAATGCGGATAAGGCAGAACTCGAACAGATTGCCTTTAATCCAAGAATGGTGTATTTTATGGATGATTTCAGTGCTCTGGCAGATTTACCCCAGGAGTTAAATAAACCTATAACAACATATGTTAGTGGAGGTGTGGAAGAGGTTCCACTCGCCCCAACAGGTAATACCTACCTTCCTGCATGCTGACTGCATGAAGTTAAACTTGTTTAAGTGAATTTCTTGTTTCCATTGTACAGCTTGGCAAGTGTCCAAGCCCTGAGTCATCAAAGTGGTTATGGCTGTGCTTAACTTGATGATCTTTAAGGTCCCTTCCAAACCAGACCGTTCTACGATTCTATGAATGCATGGCCTGACACTGGCAGCTCTTAATTTTGTTCAAGTCATGGCCACCACACCTCAAAAGCACGGGTTTAAGTCTTTTGGTAGGTCAGGACCAAAGAAGGACCTGAATGTGTCTGTGCCCACCAGTCACTGACTCTGGTGCTCCCTTGCTGTTCCCATAATAGGGCCACAACCTCTAAATGCATCATGTGCACTGAATCAGGCAATGGGAGCATGAGATTTTTGACCACAAGAAGTGGTGTGGAAAAGTTAAATTCATGCCAAACAGCAGAGGAGCAGAGGTCTAGCCGGGAGCAGGTGGACAAATCCATCCCCAGAACCGCTTCTGGTCAAAGTGATGTCATCAGGCTGTCATAGAGGCTGGATTTGACTCCAGAAATTCAAAGTTACCCTCCAATATTAAACCCAAAGACTTTTGGCAAGTTTAACCCTTTTTAAGCAGGTATTTTCTAACGAATTTCATTATTGTGGCTATGTGCCCGTGAAGACATAAGAACAACTGGGATGGGTTAGTATGGAAAGGAGACCATTAAGATTAATATGAAGGTACAAGAAGCTTGGGTTTGCCTTGGGTGTTCAGTGAGATCTAAAGGGCATAAAATCGAAACAGGTGAAAGGCTTTTATGGCTTTAGATGCTCCTTGTGATGCAAGTGGGAGAAGATCCAGAAAATGCTTTGTATACGTGTGCATGAACTGTCTGTTTGTTGTCTACTGAGCCTTTAAATAGGGGAGAAAAACCCCTAACCAATGCTCCACTACTGCTTTACTTCATGTCTGTATTGTCAACATATTGCTAGATCTTAAACATCATCAAATCAGCCAATTCATGATGTGATCTGATGTTGCACAGTATATGATATTTCCATCTGGTGCCCGAATTTATTGGGTCTTAGGATAGACATGTCCTTGCTTCCCTTTCTTCAGATGCTGTGTAGTTCTGTAGACTGTGAATACTTTGGTAAATGAGAATATTGAAAGACTGAAACCCAGCTAACTTGTAGACGATTTTCTAGGATGACATATAAAAAGAAAAATGCTTTAATTTCTTCCCCCCCCCCTTCCCTTTTCATTTGTGACTTTATTCTAGAAAGCAAGAAAGATGTTTTATTCCTGATTGATGGCTCAAGCAACCTCTTGGGCAGCTTTCCTCCCGTCCGGGATTTTGTACACAAAGTAATTTCTGACCTGAACGTGGGCTCCGACGCCACGCGAGTCGCTGTAGCTCAGTTCAGTGACACCGTCCAAGTTGAATTTGACTTTGATGAATACTCATCCAAGCAAGATATGCTCGGCAAAGTGAAAAGGATGAGGCTTAAAAGTGGGAAGCAACTGAACATTGGAGCTGCACTTGACGAAGCTATACGAAGGCTGTTTGTGAAGGAAGCTGGAAGCAGGATCGAAGAAGGGGTTCCTCAGTTTTTGGTCCTCCTTGTTGCTGGGAGATCAACTGATGACGTGGAGGATCCATCAGATGTTCTGAGGCATGCTGGAGTTGTAACCCTTGGGATCAAAGCCAAAAATGCCGACCCCACAGAGTTGCAAAGGATTGTTTATGCCCCGCACTTCCTTCTGAACGTTGAATCCCTCCCACAGATTTCAGAGCTTCAGCCAAACATAGTTAACCTGCTGAGAACAGTCCAGCTTCAGCCAACAGGTACAGGGAGCCTGGGGGTTTCCAAGAGGCTAAAAGACATGTCTTATGTGCCCCACTCAATTGGTAACTGGAGCATTTGGGTCTGGTGCTGTTTAAAATAATTGTGTAGAAGCTGCTGTTGTGCTTGGAGTTTCCTCTGCTCGCACTCTGATCCAGAAAATTGTGAAGTGCCAAACCAAATTTTAATGATAAGTGGGGAAAATGCCTTTGTTCAGCTGCAAGACCTGCAGCTGGTGCTGTTTCCAGTGTGTAGAACACGGGACAAACCTGAAATAACAGGACATTGTTGCCCCAGAGATGTTGCATTAATCGATGTGCAATGCTGGGCAAGGGCTGAAAGAAGCAATTACTGGCTTGTCTCAAATTCTCTTGCCATCTTCCCTTTTCTGGAGGAGTGGAATCCAGCACACTGGATTCACCCTTGCTCTGTTATTTCTTCCAGGATATGATGGCAGTTTCTACATTTTCTACATACACACCAATAAATCAGATGCTCTTGACTCAGTTACCACTCAATCTCAATAGATGAGATGGATTAATGAAAGAATAATTTTTTAAAAAATTTTCAAAAGGATCACATGGCCACAACAATAAATTCACACTGCAGTACTGGAAATTATGCATGTCCAGCTGTGTTATTTTCTGATGCAGCCCTAACTGGAGCATTAGCTCATCTCCCAACAGGAGGTGGAAACAAGGAAAAGTATAATAATTATCCATATCTCCATAAAGAGGCAGATGGACTTAGAATCATAAAAACATAGAAGAGAAATAGGGCTGGAAGGAATCTCAGGGTGCCATCTGCTACACGCCCTTGTCCCAGGCAGGGTCTCTTTGCCCAGAACTAGATGACATTGATCTAATCTGTTCTGGAAACCCTTTGGGGAAGACTTCCCAGATTCCATAACCACTCTGTTCAATTTCTTTTGTCAGACCCCACTTTCCCTTCAAGTCACACTTCTGTCTCCCTAGTCACAGTTCAAGCCTTCCACATCTCCTTCAACCTGAGGAGGACACAAATGCCAGCTCGCTCCCGAATTTTGCGTGGCAGCTTTTTCATCTGCTTTAGGCTTGACATGTAGGTCTTGTCTCGGTCCTTGTGTCACCAGCTGTGCACCCAGCTCATTCAATCCTTCCTTGTAGGTCTTGTAGGTTTTCTTCTATATTTTCACCCTTGTCTCCCCGATATCAGACTGCTCCAAATGACCAGAGTGTGACAATGGCATCCCCTGGTCATCTCTTACCCCATCCTTTCCATGTGGATTCATGACCCTTCCCATATTTGTGCAGCTTCTGTCTCAATCAAGACTTGTGTAATCAGTGCACTTGAATTCCATCCTCACTTTTAGAACCGTTTCTGTCTTGCCCAGACCATTTGGAATCCCTTTGACCACCAAGGACTATTAATAATTGTGCTATTGGCTCAGAGATAGCTGTATCCACCCAGTTTTCCTAGTACTCTTGGCTAAAAGACACCCATTCCATAGGAGCAACCATATTTTTTTCTTCTTTATCTGCTATACAGGGACTTTTAATAGGACTTTTCCATTGTTGCTGAGCTTTAGAGGAAGCATATGAAACTGGGATACACCAGGCAATGTCTGCTCCCTCTTCCCATCTACATTAATATTCCTGTCCTATGCATTAACCCACCAGGTTTCCAACAATCCTCTTAAGAAATAAATTTGATCTGAAGTCTGCATTAAGAATTCAACGGCCCTTGTTGACCCTTTATATGGCTGAGCATTTATAAGTAGGTAATTAATATTTTCTTCAGAGGGGCCGATCATGCTCCCACTTGTCCCACTGGACCTTGCTCTAAACAAGCCAACAGCACTTTTTGGGATGTCCTCCAGCAGTTGCTGTTTTTGAGAGGCAATGATGTTTTCTACTTGGCCAAGATAAAACTTTGCAATTCTGTTGGTCAGTAGCACAACAGGTCAAAGTTCTCTGATATTTGACACTTCATGGTCTTGATTTTGAGGTTTTTTGTTTGTTTCTTTGTGGGTTGTTTGTTTTTTTTTTTTTAAGAAGAGTATTTTGGTTGCAATTAGCATGTTTTTTTCCTGCCTGAAGATAGTAAAGAAAAAAACCCCAAAGATCAGTATCTAGCAATTCAGAAGAGCATTTCAGCATTTTCAGCTGGATGTCCTCTTGTCCTCCAGCAATTTCTTACATTTTTTTCAGAAGTGTTTGTTTCTAAGTTTAGTAATGCATCAGAAAAGCTTTTCTCTTTCTCTCCTCACCATCTCCCCATATCATCCAGAAACTCATTATTTCTTGGGAACAAAAGATCCAAGGCTCCTGTTGCATATTGCAGCATGTCACCCTCCCATGCCCCCTCTGGGAGCTGTTGCCTTCTCCCAGCCACGAGTAGGAGATGGCACCCAGAAGTCCCTTGGCACCCTATTTCCTGTGGGTCTATGATTCTGTGACTCGGTGGGTAACGCATGGAATGTTGGTTTCCACCAACTTCCACCCAACTGCCTCCTCACCAGGGATTGCATCCAGTGGCAAAGGAACTGAACCACCTTTCCTGACACCTCGTCTTCCCCTCCCTTTGAGAGCTTTGCACTGCTTTGCTTCCATGCATGAGGAGAACCACTCCTCATTAGCCACTGCAAAAGAGAATCTCACTTTTCCTCCCCTTCCCTTATTTGTTTCAAACAGTAGTTGAGAGAGGCGAGAAGAAGGACGTGGTGTTCCTAATCGATGGCTCGGATGGTGTCAGAAGAGGTTTCCCTCTGCTGAAGACGTTTGTCCAAAGAGTCGTGGAGAGCCTGGACGTTGGCCGCGACAAGGTGCGCGTGGCCGTGGCGCAGTACAGCAACACCATCCAGCCCGAGTTCCTGCTTGACACCTACGAGGACAAAGCAGATCTGGTCAGCGCCATCCAGCAGCTGAAGCTCATGGGAGGCTCTCCTCTGAACACTGGGGCAGCCCTCGACTATCTCATCAAGAACGTGTTCACGGTGTCAAGCGGCAGCAGGATAGCGGAGGGCGTCCCGCAGTTCCTGATCCTGCTGACTGCTGACAGGTCCCAGGACGATGTCAGGAGGCCTTCAGTGGTCCTGAAGACGAGCGGCACGGTGCCGTTCGGCATTGGGATCGGAAATGCCGACCTCACAGAGCTGCAGACCATTTCCTTCCTCCCAGATTTTGCTATCTCTGTGCCCGACTTCAGCCAGCTGGATTCGGTGCAGCAGGTCGTCTCCAACAGAGTCATCCGGCTGACCAAGCAAGAGATAGAATCTCTTGCCCCTGACCTGGTTTTTACATCACCCAGCCCAGGTGAGAAGATGTTTGTGTCTGCACTGAGAACCAGTGGCAAAATAGGATGTTTAGTAACATCATGGCTGCAACACAAACTGAGAAAAGCAAAGATGGTCACGGCTAAGACTCTGAGTCTGTCGTGGTCTCCCTGTTGGTGTTTTCAGGGTTGGTAGGAGCTGTGTAATTAAACTGAGCCACCTTTAAGCCCAGCCCCTCAAGGTGGTCTGTGAAAGACCCACAAAGTGAATGCTATTGCCTTAATCTAATTTTAAGTGGATGGATTTTAAGTCCATGCTGTTCCTTCTGGAATGGAAATGGTGTCATTTAGTGTGGCATTAGGTGTGTGCCACACCTTCACACCACTATAAATCAAGGTCAACTTTCTGCTAAACGTAAGACATGCTGATTTTTCCTACTTTTGCCTCCCTCATTCACTGAGGAAAGGGAAATTGGAAGCAGGCATTGGGAGAAGGATCAGATTTTACATTTCTGGTCTCCCTTGGAATGAAATCCAGTACAACTAGGATGAAGAGTATCCACCCCGGATCAGTCCCTTAGAAATTCACTGTTCTACTCTGTTTGTTCATTCCCTTCTAAGGCAGACCGCTTTCCTATATCCCCACTTATCAGTGTGTTATTCTGCAATAATTCAGGCTCTGAATTACCTGAACTACCACTGCAGAAAACACTTTATTAGGAATCAAAAAGACATCCTGAAAAGGCAGAAGCTTAGAGAATAATAGGATAGAATCTTTCCTAGAGGGCAAAGCCAAAGAAAGGGGTGGTTCTGAATGTAAAGCAACCTGTCCTGAGTAAGGACTACCACCAGGCTACACTTTCTTGGGGGGAGATCTCATAAGGAATTATTGTTATGGGTATCCCATTGCTCCCTCTCGCTTCCTTTGCCCTGGAAGTTGCTGTTCTTGCACCCCCTGAGTCGTGTCTCTGGGTTGAACCCAGAGCTTCCTGCTGGGGCTCCCAGGAGTTATCCCAGGCACGGAGACAAGGAGTACCATCCCCATGGCCAGAGGCATGGGTCAGTGGTGTAGATGATGAGCTTAACTGCCCTCCGTAAGCAATTCCTGGTACCTCCTCTGACCAGTGCCTCTCTCCTGCAGCGGGTGTGAAGAGGGATGTCGTGTTCCTGGTTGACGGCTCCCGCTTCGCCGCCCAGGAGTTCTACCTGGTCCGCGACCTCATCGGGAGGATCGTGAGCAACCTGGACGTGGGCATCGACACCACCAGGATCTCGGTGGTCCAGTTCAGCGAGCATCCCCACGTGGAGTTCCTGCTCAACACCCACTCCACCAAGGACGAGGTGCAGAGTGCCGTGAGGCAGCTGCGGTCCAAAGGTGGCCAGCTGGTGAACGTGGGGGAGGCCTTGGAGTTTGTGGCCAAGACCATCTTCACCCGGCCCTCCGGGAGCCGCATCGAGGAGGGCGTCCCGCAGTTCCTGGTCATCCTCTCCTCCCGCAAGTCCGACGATGACTTCGAGTATCCATCCCTCCAAGTCAAGCAAGTGGGCGTGGCACCTATGATGATAGCAAAGAACGTGGATACTGAAGAGATGATCCAGATTTCCCTCAGCCCTGAGTATGTATTCCAAGTCTCCAGCTTCCAGGAGCTGCCCAGCCTTGAGCAGAAGCTGCTGACTCCAATTGAAACCCTGACTGTGGACCAAATCAGGCGGCTGCTGGGAGATGTGCAGCCCCCCATAGGTAAGGCATTGGCTCTCCCTGGGTTGCTACTCAAACAAATGTTGCCCAAAAGACCTTCTCTTAAAGTCAAGATTTTCCTTAGTTAAAACCAAAGTCTTAGCACATGTACAATTTTGGAAGGAAAGCTTTAGAGAGACGGAAATTCTACCCAAGTACCTAAATACATTATAACCTATGATTTTCAAGTCAAGTGCCTAAACATGACACCAATTTGGGGCAATTTCAATTCAAATACACTTTGTATGCAATTGCCTATTCCCACTTGGCAGCTCTCTAGGAAACGGGCATAAATCTGGGGCAAAATAAAGCTGGAAATATCGACAAATCCAGAGAAGAATATTAATGAATGAAATAGGCTCTGAGTAATGCATGCTTCAAATACTAGGCAGACACTCTTTCTCACTTGCACACAGGCCCTTTTGGAGAGGCTCCCCAGAGCACCATGTGTAAAACTGGCCAAAATATGCCATGTGGTTTTACCTCACACGACAGTAGATGGCACAGAAACCCTCCAGCAAAGCTTAAACAAAAGCTTGGCATGCCAATAATTTCCTCTCTTCCTGCTTCCCCGCAGATGTTTCTGGAGATGAAAAGGACATAGTCTTCCTCATCGACAGCTCTGACAGCGTCCGGCCGGATGGGCTTGCTCATATTCGGGATTTCATCAGCAGAATTGTCCAGCAGCTGGAAGTGGGGCCAAACAAAGTGCGGATTGGTGTGGTGCAGTTCAGCAACGGTGTCTTCCCTGAGTTCTACCTGAAGACCCACAAGTCCAAAAACGCCGTCCTGGAAGCCATCCGCCGCTTGAGGCTTAGAGGTGGGTCCCCCCTGAATGCTGGCAAAGCCCTGGACTTCGTGGTGAAGAACTACTTCATCAAGTCAGCGGGAAGCAGGATAGAAGACGGAGTGCCCCAACACCTGGTGGTCATCCTTGGAGATCGGTCCCAGGATGATGTGGACAGGCCTGCCAGAGTGATCACTTCCACAAGCATCAAACCTCTGGGTGTCGGGGCCAGGAATGTGGACAGGGACCAGCTGCAGGTCATTACCAACGATCCCGGGCGCGTGCTTGTGGTTCAGGACTTCACGGGACTCTCAACCTTAGAAAAGAGGGTGCAGAATATTCTTGACGAGATCCCCATACCTACAACTGACTCACCTGGACCATTCCTACCTGGTAAGGCTGCTATTCATCCTGAAGACTTTTCTGAACAGAGTATGGATGGTATTTGCCTGAAGTGAAAATGACTCCATAATAACACCTTTTGATTCCTAAACCTTTAGTTGCATTGATTAAAAGAACTCTTTGAAGTTATTGAGTTAGGAAAGAATATAATTAAATTTTAATGGAGATGAGGGTGCCTATCACAAGTAATGTTGTATGAAGTGTTATACAAAAATTTTCTTGTATGGATGTAAAATCCTGCCAAGGGTCAATGAAACAAAATGGTAGAAAGGAGAGAGAAATCTCATTTGCAAAGTGCTACTTCACAAAGCTCTGAGCAGCTTAAACAGTAAAGACCCTGCAAACAATTACTAACAATCACGTTCTCTTTGTAATCTTTTCAGGAGGCAAAAAGCAGGCTGACATTGTGTTTTTGCTGGATGGCTCCATCAATTTGGGGAGAGATAACTTCCAAGAAGTTCTCCAGTTTGTCTACTCCGTGGTGGACGCCATTTACAGGGATGGCGACTCTATCCAGGTAGGACTGGCCCAGTACAACTCGGATGTCACTGATGAGTTCTTCCTCAAGGACCACTCCACCAAAGCTCAGATTCTAGAGGCCATCAACAAAGTCATCTACAAAGGCGGGCGAGTGGCCAACACGGGCGCGGCCATCAAGCACATCCAGGAGAGACACTTTGTGAAGGAGGCCGGCAGCCGGATCGACCAGAGGGTGCCCCAGATCGCCTTCATCGTCACGGGTGGGAAGTCGATGGACGACGGGCCCAGGGCCTCCTTGGAAATCACGCAGAAAGGCATCAAGGTGTTCGCAGTGGGCGTGAGGAACATCGACCTGAAGGAGGTCAGCCTGCTGGCCAGCGAGAGCGCCATGAGCTTCAGAGCATCCACGGCCCAGGAGCTGTCAGAGCTGAATGAGCAGGTCCTGGTCACGCTGGAAGCTGCCATGGAGGAGAGATTGTGCCCAGGAACAACAGATGTGACAAGAGGTAAGGACAATCCCTTCGTAACGTTCTCAGGTCATTCTTTTCATATCCAGTGTGTTTTGATGGACTTGTCTGCCCTACTGTTGTTCTTTGCCTACGGCCTGAGGTGGAGCATGGGCTCATTCCTCCTCCAGGAGTCTGATGGGGGCTGCAAACTTTTGGTACAGGAGCTGCTTGTCCGTGGCCTTCAGCCTGCAAATGACTGGAGTAACATCACCACAGAGATGCCACCATGGTGGAATTAATTTCAGATGTGACAAACAGGCATTAAATTACTGGCCTCCTACCACCACATTTAGCCTTTGGACTAAATCCCATTTCAGATTTTCTCACAGGGACATGATACCAGTATCATCTCAACAGACCAAGTTGTTTCTTGACAAAATGAAAAGTGGTGGCCCTTGTTTCCCCTCCCTGTGTCTATTACAATATAATTGCAATTTTTGGTCATTCAGGCATGCATGGTATGCTGGAAATCACAGAATAATAGAAATCTAGACCAGTTTGAGTAGGAGGGGACCCCAAATACTATTCATTCCTACTTCCCTGCCAAGAAACACCTTCTACTATCCCAGATTGCTCCACACCCTGTCCACTGGCCTGGAACACTACTGGGGATGTGGCAGTCACAGTTTCTCTGGGCAGCCTGTGCCAGGGCCTCACCACCCTCACAGGGAAGAATTTCTTCCCAATATCCCATCTAACCCTGCCCTCTGGCAGTGGGAAGCCATTTCCCTTGCTCTCACTCCAGAATTGTGTCCAAAGCCTATGTCCAGCTCTCTTGTAACCCCTTTAGACAATGGAGGAGAAAACCAAAATTTCCCTTGCCAGATCATCCGGGATGCCCACCTGATCTCATGACAAGTATATGAGGAAAAACCAGGACACGTGTGGTTGTAGCTTAAGGTAAAATTGCCTTAAGAAGGAATCCCATGACTGGGCTACTTCAGAAGCCAAGCAGGGGAATGGTAGTGAGTAAGTGAGCTGGTATTGCTGTCAGATCAGACTCCCAGCAGCTGGTTTTACTTACTCCATTACAGCCAGTCCTACTCCCAGCTCGACTGACCATAGCTCAGCCCTCTGACTTTGGGCAGAGGCGTCTCCTGAACCTCTGGAAAAGGAGAGGCACAACAGCCTTGAACTGAGCAGCAGCTCTAGCTGAGAAGAAAAACTGAGTGCTGGGAAAAGCAAACCACTGCTGGTGGTACTAACTTATCCCAAGTGTGGTTAAGATATTAACCAGGCAGTGTGGCTAATACCAAAGAGAATTCAAACACCTCCCTGTGATTCTGAGTGTCACTTCGAGCACAGGCAGAAGGTGCACACTGCACAAGTACTGACAGGTTTCCATGTGCTGGAGAGAGAGAAAAGCAATCTTAGCTGCCTGATGAAAATGCAAATTCCTCTTGGACTTGTTTTAGGCAGCTCCTTTCATTGGTAAAATTAAAAAAAAAGAAAGTTATTAAAACACAAGTTTTCCCAGGTGAAAGGAAACAGAAGGTACTTGTGCAGTGGTGTCAGTTCTTGATGCAGTGTCTTCATTTAACTACTAAAAGAGCAATTAGAAAAGCCATTACTTGGAAACCAATCATCACACTGCTCCATGATGCTCTTCTCTCTTTCTTCATTGCCTTCTCAGATTGTGACTTAGACGTGATAATTGGCTTTGATGTCAGTGATGTTGGGCCCGGCCAAAACATCTTCAGCTCCCAGCGAGGTCTGGAGTCGAGAGTGGAGTCCGTGCTGAACAGGATAACGCAGATGCAGAAGATCAGCTGCACTGGCAACCAGGCACCCAATGTCAGGGTGGCCATCATGGCCCAGGCCCAGGGGGGACTTGTGGAGGGCCTGGACTTCTCTGAGTACCGGCCTGAGCTCTTGGAGAGGTTCCTGGACATGCGGACCCGCGGGGCTTATTACCTCAGGGCAGATACACTGAGGTCCTACCTGCGCAAATTCCGGGCCTCACCCGCTGGCAGCACCAAGGTGAGTCATGGCCAAGGCCTCTGGGGTGGTGTTGGCCAGCAAAGCTGGCTTCTGCTGTCCTTTAGTTGGTAAAGAAACTGTAAACTCATTGTAATTTTTTTTAAAATTACGTTGAACTTATTCACCATAAATTTAGTCACTTATGCCCTACCTGTTTGCTGCACTCTCCCTGCATTGTCAAGGTCCTGTCCTGGCAATTGATGAGCATCACTGCAGCCAGTTCCCACAATCACTGCTTAGCTGCAAATTGTTGCTCTCCAGATATTTCCCGTGCTGTGCTCTAGCAACACCTGCGTGATGTACAGGAGCAGGAATGTACAGGAACCTGGCACAGGAATGCAGAGCTTCATGGCCTGGAAAAGGTGTACAAGTTCCCTCACCTTGTCTCAGATGAAGCATTGGAAAAAGGTTGCACACTGATTATGTTCCACACCTGAAATATTCTGGGTCCTGACAAAAATTTGTTTCTCTTCCAGGTCATAATCCATTTTACTGATGGTGCAGATGAGCCAATAGAGCTGCTGGAGGCTGCTTCATCTACTTTACACTCAGAAGGTAATTTTTTTTTTTTTGCTCTTCCAGGCAGTGATTATAGTCCATGTTAACATGTAGCCCATTTTACCACCATTTCTCCTCAATCCATCTGCTTTTGATAGTAAGGGCTGAGGATTTTGTGGGTTCTGCATGCACTTGCTGTTCTTCACTGCCTTCCTGTGATGCTTAGCTGCCTGCTGCCACCCACCTAAGTGTGCGAGCAGCTTACACTGGATGTGTCTGAAGATGCCTGTTCTCTGCTGAAAAGGCTCTATTTGCAATCAAAGATGTGTTATCACAGGGGAGGCCCTCCAGAGCACCTCTCCCCATCACAAAGCCCCTTCTGCTTCTCCCTGCCAGGAGTCAACGCTCTCATCTTCGTCGGGCTGGACCGAGTGGCCAACTTTGACAGACTGATGCAGCTGGAGTTTGGCCGTGGGTTCACCTACAACAGACCACTCAGAGTTAATCTGCTGGACTTGGATTTCGAGCTGGCAGAGCAGCTTGTAAGTAACTTGGCACAGGCAGTGCTGCCTTGTAATGCTGGAGGAAAGCCCACAGCTGGATCTCCTGCAGGGCTGAGCCGTGGCTGCATTACACCCTCTTGGCTCTGCTCCTCTCCCCTCCCTGCCTCACGTCACCTCTTTTCACAGATGCCACAGCAAATAAAGTTCAGAGCAGATCACGGTCTCTTCCCACTCCTGAAGAAACCCTACTCCAGCAGAGGCTTTAGGTCAAATGGGATGGGATAAGATGCCATCAAAAGCTGTGGTGCCAAAATCCCGCCCTCTGCCTGTGTTTACACTGTTGGTTTTTTTAACCTTACAGTAATGCCCTGTCGTGCCTGGTCAGTGCTAAAGCTCTTGTAGAAGCGTTGCTTTCGAGGTTTCTTTCCCTGATCTCATACACTGCCTGTATTTTAGACATGCTTTTAATAAATGAAGGAGTTACCCTTTAAAATCCCTTCCAACCCAACCCATTCCATGATTCCTTCTTCTTCATAATTTTACTTCTTTCCCAATGCATAGTCCCTCTCGAGTGTTGAATTAATTTGCGGTCAACCTCAGTATGTCCAGTTCCTCCCAACTTCTCAGCTGCTACCAACACAACTGAGCTCCTTTTCCAGTGGAATTAATAATATTGGGCTTAACCACTGCTCCCTGTGGTAACCTTGCTGGGCCCTTCCCTGCAAATCAAAGTGCAGCCACTTGTGAGTGAGCCTTGGGTTTTGGGATAAGAGCTGGTCCTCAGCCCCTCCCCAGGTACTTCAGCCTAGGAGAATCCTTCCAGAATATAACTGTGCAAAGCTGGCAGGAAATGTTTGCAGCCAGCAATGTACTTGGCAAAGAAAGTGATTTTTTCCCCTCTTTCTGTTGGATGATGTAAAACCAAGCTGTGGTTTCTCTGAGTCCATATCATTCTTTTTAACCTGTTGGTTTTTTTTTTCTCCTTTACTGTGTGCTTTTGAATTGTTCTCAGCCTGTGGTTTGCTGGTGAGCTGCTCACTGCAGTGACTTTCTCATGGCCTGCTCCACAGCCTGGATTTTTTTCTTTAGAGATGAGCTTTCTCTCTCCAGTGACAGCCACTGCTCTGAGGACTGGTGTCTTACTAAATGTGCTCTATGAATTCTGCCCCACGCAGTTTCTGTTTAAACCCTTCCCTCTAATGTCCAAAATCAGGAGCTGGGGCTCTGGCAGGTTTCTAACGCTTTCACTTCCCGCTTTTCCTGCAGGACAACATCGCAGAGAGGACGTGCTGCAAGGTCCCCTGCAAGTGCTCAGGGCAGAGAGGGGACAGAGGTGTGCCAGGCCCCATAGGACCAAAGGTAGGTCACTTCATCTGGGGATGAAGGGTCCCTGTGCACAGGGACCTAGTGGTGACCTTCAGGGTGTGTAGCTGCAGTCAGTGATGTTAATGGCGAGATCAGCTCCACTTACTCCTCACATTTGAAAACTGACCCTGGGACACGCAGAGAAATGGAGGGCTGCTCTTCTTCCCTTTCCCCACGGCCTCAGTACTGCAAAACATCCAAGAGGACAGAGTGAGGCATCCTGTGAAACAATTTAGGGACATCAAAAGGAGATTATGTCTCTCATGAACACATATGACCAAGCAGCTGCTTTGTGCTCATCTAGGGGAACCTTGAATATCAATCACAGAACTATGAAGGAAATTCACAATTTTCTATGTTGTTCTTTCTTGTTTTCTAGGGTGTTACAGGGGATCTTGGCTACGGAGGCTACCCTGGTGATGAAGGAGGACCGGTGAGTGACTGCCTCAGTTCATACGGGGACTTCACTATAGTCAAGTGTTTGGAGGTGTTTCCACTAAAGGAAAAGCCTTCAAACTTTTTTTTTTTTTTCCTGCTGGGAATGTGGATGTGGGTTAGAGGAGACATCAGAACTCTGAGTTTCCCACACCTAACAGGCTGAGTTGCTGGTCCCAGCTTCTCCTGGGAGAAAGTCAGTTGGGAGCTTCTCTAGAGCTGGAGAAGGATGATGGGGGAATAACTCCCGTTATTTGATGTGACTCATCTCTGTGCTATTCCCCAAGGCAAATAAAATCCTCAATTTCATCAAATCCACATCTTATGCCAAAGTTATCCATACCACCTGCAGCTGAAAGATTTGAGTTAGTCCAAAAGTGGAACTGAGAATGACGTTCCTGTCCATCACACGGCAGACAACGTGACTCCAGTGAATTCTTACTAACACTCTTCATCCAAACTCTGCATGCATCCCACGTCAGCCCTGGAATAAACATCCCTCCATGCATTGCTCCCAAGGGATGAAGCTGAAGCCAAGGGGCTGACGGTGCTCATGGCTTTCCCTACAGCACAGGCAGGGGCCAAAGGCTGCTGTGAGACATCACATGCCAGGCAATGTTTTCCTGGGGCTTGAAGGTCAGGATGGGAATTAGACATCTGTGCAGAGCTCTTGAGGGCTTTGTCTCGTCATTTTAATTCTGAAAGAGAAGTTTCTCAAAGCTCTTTCACAGCTGAGGGACTGGGAAGGATGTTTCTCTCTCGATGATGAAGACTTGCAGTTGGTCTCTACAGGAGGAAGGTTGTGGGCAAGAGATGATGGGGTGGCCAGGCAAAACCTGCTGCTCCTGTGCCTCCAAGCCACCTCTTGCAACAGGTAGTCACAGAAATAGGCTTTAGCAGGCAACTCCTAACTTGTTTTTTCCCCTCTATGCACCAGGGTGAGCGTGGGCCACCAGGTGTGAACGGGACACAAGGTTTCCAGGGATGCCCCGGGCACCGAGGAACAAAGGTATGTGTGGAACAAGTCTGCACAGAGCAGACCCAGAGTCCAGTGGGTGGGAGTCCCCCAGGGGTAACCCATGCTGCTTTAGGAGGTCACACAGCCTCTGCCACGTGCCCTTGAGTGCTTGTGTCCACCTGGCCAGGCACCAGGGCTTTCAGAGGCTGTTGTGGCTTTGGTGTTGCTCTGAAGAGCAGAAAGGCAGCCCCAGAGCTCCAGGCTCAATCCACAGACAAGGATGATCAATCTCCTGCAGTCCGGCTCTGGGGGAAGGATTTGGGAAGAGATGGATGTGCGTGTCTTGGCACAGGGCTGGGACAGTGAGTGGGTGGAACTCTGCTCTTGGGGAAGAGGGAGACAAGCGAGCCATGGCTGAGGCTTTAAAGAGGAACCTTGAGCTAATGGTCCAGGACAGCAGCTGCACCCCAAGCCAGAAAAGGTGGTGAAACATGTAATATTAATGGGAAATAGTGAAATTAAGGGGATGTTTCCTACCATTTGCTCTTACCACATGATCCTCTGGCAGGGAGAAGAGGAATGCATGAACCAAGCCCATTAGTTGCAGCTGAGATACTGAGTCTCATTAAAATCTGTTCAGCCTTGGAAAAGGCACTGGATTAACATAAAAACGAGTGCAGGGAGGAACAAAAAGTCAGTGAAGGAAGAGTTGTGGCTAAGGAGTGAGATATTTTATTGGATCAGCTGGATTAATCCCCATGCCCCACATATTTTATCTTGGCACAAGTGTTGGGGAGGCAGCTGAAGACAAACATTGACATAAGAGAAATTAGGGAAAGTCCTGTCCTGGCCTTGGCTCTGGGTCTGCCACCAAGCCCAGCCCTCCTTCTCCACTGTCCTATGGCAGTGAGCTGGACAAAAGTGGAGTAACTCTCTTTTCTTTCTCCTTAGGGTTCTCGGGGATTCCCAGGAGAGAAGGTAGGGAATTATTTCCTCATGCCACAGCAGTGAGTGTGAGTGTGTGGCACATCAAAATCCCCCTCCCCAATCCCTCTTTCTCTCAGTAAGCATTTGCCCCTTGCCTCCCTTCCACAGGGTGAACTGGGAGAAATGGGTCTGGATGGCATTGATGGAGAAGAGGTCAGTAATTTTGATTGCTTTTCTCTTAATGACTTGATGCTTTAGTTAAGTATCTAAAAAGCACCTTGGGAGTGGCAAATAGTCTAAAATATTTTTATTTTTCTTAGGGAGACAAGGGTTTGCCTGGCTCCTCTGGAGAGAAGGGATATTCTGGCAGGAGGGTAAGCTTTAATCACCTTTACAGTGATTAAATGATGGTGTAGAGGTGGGTTTGAGCCAGGGGAGGGTGGAAAGCCATCGTGCTCCCCTCAGATGAGATGCTTTCAACAAGTGACAGCTGCTCTTCCTAACTCTCCATCTCTTCCCACAGGGAGATAAGGGAGTAAAGGGTGAACGAGGAGAGCGAGGCGACCGTGGGCTCCGTGGAGATCCGGTAAATACTGCAAAGGCATCTTCTTGACTTTCCACACACTTTCCACACATCCTGGGGTCTTCAGAGAGGGTGGCTATGGCTTATTAAATGCTGTTTGACAGTGGTAGGTCCCATGACAGAGCAAGGACTCAGAGGTGACATGTGGGTACCATGTGATCCCAACCCATAAATCGCTGCCTCACCATTTTAAAATTCCCCTTCCTCGCCTTCTTCAGTGTTATTTCTCAGCTGAAAAGATGTGTCTGTCTGAAAACATTTCAGTCAAAAAAAAAGAAAATTGGTTCTCAGGTCTAGCAGAGCAAGTTTACGAGGTTTGATTTTCATGTCCCACTTACACAGATGTTTCTCATTGCTCTGTTGCTTTCAGGGAGATTCAGGAGCTGATAATACTCAGCGGGGCTCCAGAGGACAAAAGGGTGAAATTGGACCAATGGTAAAATTTCTTTGTTGTCTTGTGTTGTTTTTTGGTTTTAACAACAGAACGGGCCAGAGAAAGAGAGAAAAGAGGATGCTGCCAAAAAGATGCAAGTCTCTTAAACTCATCGTGCCTTGTCAGATGGAATATTTTTTTCCACTAGAAAATGTTGTTGGTTTACAACCAAAACTTTCTCTGGAATGATGTCAGTTTAGAAGATGTTTTGTGTAAAAAGCACCTTAAAAAAAAATTATTATTTTACAGTGCTGTATTGGGATATTGCCTCTGAAAAGAACTTTGTAGTTGGAATTTGCCTTTTGCCAGTATGTTCTCATGGGTCATATGCAAAACCAGAGAACTGTTTAGATTACACCAAATCTAAACCTCCTGATTCACCTGAAACCTCTGCAAGAAAAAAAAAAACAAAACCCACACACTCCTTGGAAAATTTCAAAACCCATCTGTTTTCACATCAGCTCACAATCAAAAAATGTATCTTAAATTGTCAGAAGGCATTTCCCAAAGAATAGGAACGTGGGCTTCTGCTGGCTCAGAAACTTGATGGAAAGTTTTTGTGAGCTGTTAGAAGGATTCCCACCAAAGCAGGGCTATTAACTTGTGTGAAGGCATGAAAGGAGACATTTTTTGAGACTTGGATCTGTTTTCCCAGTGCCTGCTCATCTCAGGGCTCTCACTTGAGGTTTGTTTTTCCCTTAGGGAGATCCTGGACCGGCAGGGCTAGAGGGCCAAGACGGTGGAGTCGGGAGGAGGGTGAGTTGCCAGACCTCCAGTCAGCAAGACCCAAGCTTAGATTGACAAGAACTTTTCCCCTCCTTCCTTTCCATGTATTTTGCTTCACAAGTGTCAGGGGTTCAACCTCGAAACCCAACAAGCCACCCCCAAAAAAGGAAAAAAAAATTCTCAAAAGGAAAATGCCTCATGGCTTCCTGGCTTGTTATAGAGACTTGAAAAATGGGACTTACTCCTGTGCAAATAACTCAGTGCTCAGATCAGTGGAGTCACACATGATTTATACATAATTTATACCAAATTGGATGGTGCTTGGAACAACCTGGTCTAGTGGAAGGTGTCCTTCCCCCATGGCAGGGGGTTGGAATTAGATGGTCTTGAAGGTCCCTTCCAATCCAAACCAGTCTGTGATACCATGATATGCATCTGCATTTGGCTGCTGGTTTTTGGAAAGGCAAAAACCAAACTGGAGCAGGGATGTCTGGGATGTCCCTCCCATCCCGGGAATGGTGGCACGCTCCTGGCACGCATGAGAGAGCAGCTCACCAAAGCTCACCCCAGTCTGATTTAAGAGACCTGACCATATAGATTTCCCTCTCCCTTTCCCCCCAGTAGTTTAAAATATCCAAATGTAATTTTTGGACTGTGAGAAGCATTGATAAGAAGCACTGATCTAAAAGCAATAGGGAAAGGTGTGCTTACATATTAGATCCATAAGTCTCCCTGTTCCTTCATTTGCAGGGCATGCCAGGACGAAGGGGGCCCATAGGAGTTAAGGTAGGTGGTGATGGGGCTCCTGCCATACCCTGGGGCTCAGCACCCACAGAGATGTACCAAGAGAAGGGACATGCAGGCTTTGCTTGTTCCTCTCTGCCTCCTCTCTCCTCTGAATTTCTCATCTCCTCCTCCTCCTCAGGCCCATCTCCCTGTGTGCTTCTTGCTGGACTTGGTGCAGAACCAACTGTCCACATGCCTGCTTGTCTCCTACAGCATTCCCTGGTTGGATGTTTTGTCCCCATGTGCTGCTGGAGCAGTGTAACCGGGCCAAAGCATGATGGTTGATGCCCATCAATTGCAGGAGGCAAATTCCCCCCAGCCATCGCTTATTATCTGCTACCACCATATCTTTAAAAAAAAACAAACAACAAGAAAACTGAAAATTTGTTCTTCCCTGCTCTTTGTGCAGCTATGGATACTCTGATCTGCCCTTTCCCTCCCCATGGTGCTGACCACATCCTCCCATGCTAACCTGCACTGTCCTGTTTTGCCTTCCAGGGCACCAAGGGCGCGCCTGGTCAAGCAGGGCCAGCTGGAGAACAAGGCATGCGAGGGCCACAGGTCAGTGAGCTCCCAGCACAGGAAAGGCCTTGCCTCATGATGCTGTGGTGTTACCTCATCACAGCCACTTCCCCAGAGAGTTCTCATCCACACAGACTGTTGGGATTTGGGTATTTTTGGGTGTCCTGTGGCCTGGCTGTCCCGCCTGCCGCTGCATTCACACCAGCCAAGGTGTGAAGTGTTGGCAAAGCATCCCTCAGACACTGCAACATCTGCTTTCCCTTGGATCTTGGTGTCTTTATGCCCATGTGTGCTGACAGCCTCTCTTTTCTTCCCACACAGGGTCCCCCTGGCCAGGTTGGCACACCAGGGATCAGAGGAGAGCAGGGTGTCCCTGGACCCAGGGTAATCCTTCTGCTGCTTCCTGGACATTGGCTCAACTCTACTGTTGTTGAACTAATAAGATTCCAATGTGTCTTCACATTTCCCTCTCCTAGGGCTCCAGCTCTGCTCCACTCTCTTTTAACACACTCTTCAAGCATGATTCTCCTCTCAATTTATGCTTAAGACTTCTTGATCAAGAGTTACAGAAGAGAAGGAGCTAAAAACAACCACAGAAGGCTCGGGACTTCAGTGCTTGGCCCATTATTGCAATTTTAGTTAAAGAGGATCTCTGAGTGGCTGGTGGGGAGTCTCTGTGATGTTTCATCCTCTAAGGCCAGAGCATGACCATCTCACATGCCTGCAGGGGCCACCCCATGTATTTTTTTCTCCCTCCTGCTGCATTCCTCAGCCACGCCCATCAACATAAAGCCAGATTGCATTTCCCTACTCCCAGCATGATTTTCCCCCTTCTGCTTTCCCGTGGATGTTCTCTTAGGAACAATATAAAGTACTGCTGACATTTGCACTGAACTGAGCTGGACCTCCAGCTTTTCCCAAACATGAAGCCGACTTCTGAATTTCCTGAGGTGTTTTGAGAAACACCAGCCCTAGTAGTCAATACATGATTTCTGTGGTCATCCGATTCATCCAATACTTCCTGGCACCTGAGTTTTCTTGAACGTTGCCAACATGCCTCTCCCCATTTCCATTCCAGGCTGGGAGTGGACCTCCAGGACCCCCAGGAGAACGTGGCAGGATTGGTCCCCTGGGAAGGAAGGTATGTCTTTAGGAGCACTGGGCATCAGCAACTAGAGCTGCATTGAAAAGCTGCTGGATTTTGCATGGGCTTAAATAAATACATGAGATGAACCTCTTGGGCTTGCACAGTGTGGAGAGAAGCAACTCTGTGCTCACTGTCTCGTTAGGCTCCCATTTCAGTGAACCAACCAGTGTTGATGGGGTGGGGAAGGCTCAGAGCTGCCTGGAGTTCCAGCACGTCCTTTAACAGATGCTCCTCTTTTTTTTTAGGGTGAGCCTGGAAACCCTGGAGCCAAAGGACCGGATGGACAGCCAGGCCCACGAGGAGAGACGGTGAGTGTGGCCATGCCCTCCCACCTCTGAGGACACTTAAGGAACATTTAAGAGTTTCACAAAGGCCTGTGGCACCAGTGGGTTCTTTCTACTGGTGCTGCTGGACCTGTGGGGTTTAAGTTGTTTACATATGACATATCATTTACATATGAATGACTTTGGCTTTCCAATTTTAGGGTGATGATGGACGAGACGGAATTGGTGTCCCAGGTCCTAAAGGCAGGAAGGTAGGTGTATGCTCAGCATTTCCAGCTGCTCAACAAGGACAAGGAAGCAGCCAAGAACTCCAGTGCAGATGGATGAGGGCATTTCCTAGAACATATTCAAATTAACCTTTCTGTTTTTTCAGGGAGAACGTGGCTTCGTAGGTTACGCAGGGCCAAAGGTAGGTGCAGACCATGAGCTGTGCATTTATTTTCCAAGCAATTTTCCATGGGCCTGTGCAGGTTTAGAGCTGCAGTTTGTGGTTTTCCCCTCCTAGGGTGGACCTGGTGACCGTGGTGTTGCTGGAGGCCCCGGCCCCAAAGGAAACAGAGGCCGCAGAGTAAGTTGGACCATGGTACAAATTTTCCTTTCTGTGTGAATGCCCTGAAAGATTGGCACATCTTTTCCTCCAAGTGCTCCTGGGAATCCTCCTGCAAATGTTCATGGAGAGGACTTCTCTGCTCTGTCTTTCTAGGGAAATGCAGGAGTACCTGGGATACCTGGTCAGAAAGGAGAGATTGGATACCCTGGGCCATCTGTAAGTCTTCATTGCATTGCTGATTGGCTTCATGTCCCTGTGGGTGCCTGGAGCTGAAAAATCACTGTTTCCTGCTGATTTCAAGTTGGGGAAATCCCTCTTTATTTGTCTTGGATGTGTCTCTATAAATTTTTAAGCAGCTGTTCATCGCTGACAAATATTTACCCTTCCTCAAAGCAAAGCAAAAAGTGAAGAGCCATGCTCTTACCTGGTGTTAGGAATTCCCCATGGCAATATGCCCCTTAAAATTCCTTCTAGGAGATTCTCATCTCTTTATCATTCACCACCCCACAGAGGATATGGTGCAGGACCAAATCTGGCTGGCACAAGGCTCCCTAGAAAGGCTGAGGGGACTGGGCTTGTTTTGCATGTGAACCTGGAGTGTCATAGAATGGTCTGGATTCGAAGAGACCTTAAAGACCATCTAGTTCCAACCTCCCTTTTGGGTTTGGCCTCAGCTAGGTTTACTCCTCACACAGAAGAGCCCTGCCCTATGTTGCTGGAAACAGAGCTGCAAACAGACAGATTTTCCCTTGGCTCCTGCATGACTCATGGCTCAGTAGTTATTCTGAGAGGGTTCACGGGGCACCCTGGAACTTTGCACTCAATTTCTCTTCATTCTTTGAAACAGGGCCTTAAAGGCGAGAAAGGAGAATCCAGAGATGTAAGTGTGGCACAATTTCTCTCTTGTTTTGAAACACCCTTGGGTTGGCTGTGTGACATATGTCTTTCCCCCCCTTTTTTTATTTCTTAAAGCAATGTGCACTGGTGCGGAATATCAAAGACAAATGCCGTGAGTACCTCAGTGCTTTGCTAAGCCCCTCTCTCTACCCTTATTTGCCCATTATTTACAAGAATGGCACTGACCAAGCTGTTTTTCTCTCCATCTTTTCCACAGCTTGTTGCTATGGTAAGTATCATTCCCTCCCTTAAACCTGCATGCCACGATTGCTGCTTTCCCCACATGTGAATGAATTATCCCTGCTGAGGACACTGTCCTTGAATTCCTGCTTGACACATGACTTGTTCCTGGTGCACATTCCCAACAGGTCCCAAGGAGTGCCCTGTCTTCCCAACCGAGCTGGCCTTTGCTATTGACACCTCCTCAGGCGTCGTGAGGGACGTTTTCAACAGGATGAAACAAACCGTGCTCAGGGTTGTCAACAACTTAACCATCGCCGAGAGCAACTGTCCCCGGGGGGCACGGGTGGCCCTGGTCACCTACAACAACGAGGTCACCACCGAGATCCGCTTTGCCGATGCCAGGAAGAAATCCAGCCTCCTTCAGCAGATCCAAAACTTCCAGGCAACCCTGACCACGAAGCCACGCAGTCTGGAGACCGCCATGTCCTTCGTGGCCAGGAATACCTTCAAGCGTGCCCGCAGTGGCTTCCTGATGAGGAAGGTGGCTGTCTTCTTCAGCAATGGGGACACAAGAGCGTCCCCCCAGCTCAATGATGCTGTGCTGAAGCTCTACGATGCCGGGATCGTGCCGGTGTTCCTCACCAGCAGGCAGGATGCGGTTCTTGCCAGAGCTCTGGAGGTTAGGGTCCTTTCTTTATTTTCTCCTCATGCCCTTGGTCTGGTTTGATGGTGTTGGATTCCACGGGCAATGCTTGGCTTTCACGGGCCTCTTAAATGTGGAAGAAAGTATTGCTGACCAAACTTACTCCATCCATTAGGAGAGAAACCCTAATTCCGTAGTCACCACAGCACGTGCTGGAAAATGCTAGTGAGACTCTCAGGAGTCACTCTTTTCCCAAGCCACAACTCCAGGGTGCCAGGTGTGGGATGAAACAGAAGGAGGAGTCTGACAGAAAGGCAAAGGGTGGGAAGGGGAAGAACATTAGCTTTGTTGGCAGAGAAAGAGTGGACAGACAGAGATTGAAAGCCACGAAAAACCCCCAGATAAACTCACTGAACACTGGTTCAAGTAGTTCCTTTTCTTGGAGTTTATGACTCTAAACTGACCTCAGGGACACGAGGCTCCTCCAAAAGGGCTCCACTGAGAGCATTGTGTTGAGCAGAGAATCCCTCAGAGTTGTGAATTGCCTTCCCCTCCCCCGAGCTGAGAACAGAAGGCAGCATTGCTGACTCCATGTGTTTGTGTTTCCCTCTCACCAGATCAACAACACAGCAGTCGGTCACGCCATCGTTCTTCCAACCAGCGGCGGCCAGCTGAACCAAACCATTCAGAGGCTTTTGACTTGTCATATTTGTTTGGGTAAAGCATCCAATTTCTCCTCTAGACAGCTCCAAATCCTTCTGGTCATGCAGCAGTCAGTCGTAAGAAGGGAAGCCCAGTTGGGAGTGGGCCCTTTCGTTGATGAATACAAGGGATTCTTGGGTTGAGCAGAAAACATTGGCATTGTGAACAAGATTTGCTGGGCGTTCTGTACTTTGTAAAGAGAAGCTCCTTTTTTGTCTGGTTGCCACTTTCACAGCCCAAACACTGATAGCTAAGTGCTCCAAAAGATGGCCTTCTGCCACTTATGACGGAGTGCTTCAGGGATCCCCTTGGACAAAGGAGCACATAAAAAAATACTGAACGTGTATCTAAATGTGTTGTGGAATGAAATGATTTTGGTATCAAGCAATGGACCAGTGAATGTCCGGGGCTTGATGGTATTTTGTGTGACACAAGAGATGTGTCCAGTTCTGGGCCTCTCAGTTTAGGAAGGACCTTGAGACACTTAAGCACATCCAGAGGAGGCAACAAGGCTGGGGAGGGGCTTGGAACACAAAGCCTGTGAGGAATGACTGAGGGAGCTGGGGTTGCTGAGCCTGGAGAAAAGGAGACTCAGGGGTGACCTTATCCCTCTCTACAACTCCCTGAAAGGTGGCTGTGGCCAGGTGGGGTTGATCTATTTCTCCAAGCAGCACTGACAGAACCAGAGGACAGAGTCTTAAGCTGCACCAGGGGAACTATAGGTTGGATATTAGGAAAAAGTTTTAAGGAAAAGGTGATAAAGTACTGGAATGGTCTGCCTAGGAGGGTGGTGGAGTCACCATCCCTGGATGTATTTAAAAAAAGACTGGATGTGGCACTCAGTGCCATGGTTTAGTTGAGGTGTTAGGGCATGGGTTGGACTCAATGATCTTGAAGGTCTCTTCCAACCCAGTGATTCTGTGAAAGCTATTAAATGTCTGTGAAAGCTATTAAATATTTACAGTGATGAGTGTTCAGGTCCTGCAGGTGAAACCCACTGTATTTCCTCCCCAGATGTGTGTGACCCCCATCCCACCTGTGGTGCAAGTGGCCAGAGACCAGCGTTCAGAGACAGAAGGGCAGCCCCCACTGACGTGGATACAGACATTGCCTTCATCCTGGACAGCTCCGAGTCCACCACCCCTCTGCAGTTCAGCGAGATGAAGAAGTACATTTCCCACATTGTAAATAACCTGGAAATCAGCTCAGAGCCGAAGGTATCCCAGCACCACGCCAGAGTGGCCGTTCTCCAGCAAGCTCCTTATGAACACGAAACCAACTCCAGCTTCCCACCAGTAAAAACCGAGTTCTCACTAACTGATTATGCATCCAAGGAGAAGATCATTAATTACCTCCACAACCAAATGACCCAGCTCCATGGCACGAGGGCCCTAGGAAGTGCAATTGAACACACAATCGCTCATGTTTTTGAAAGCGCGCCGAACCTTCGGGATCAAAAAGTCATAGTCCTGATGATGACTGGAAAAGTGAACAAAAAGGAACTTGAGCACCTGCAGAGAGTTGTCATCAATGCAAAATGCAAAGGGTACTTCTTTGTTGTCTTGGGCATCGGCAGGAAGGTGAATGCCAAGAATATTTACAGCCTCGCCAGCGAGCCAAACGACGTGTTCTTCAAGCTGGTTGATAAACCAGGAGAGCTCCATGAAGAGCCCTTGCTGCGTTTTGGGACACTGCTGCCATCCTTTATCAGAAGTAAGTGTAACATCCTGCAGCCCAAGTGCCATGGAAGGGGCAGCACATGTCCTCAGAGGGGTTAATCAGAAAGGTTTTGAGCAGCAGGACCAACGGAAGTTAGTCTCTTTTTTTTTTGTTTGTACTGTTTGGTGCAATTTGGGCTGCTCATACTTTACCCAGCTGAGTATGTCTGGGCTTTGTTCACTTTGGCCTCTCTGTCCCCTTCCATGTTGATCCACCAAGCAGAGTTTGCCCTTCAGTGTGCTTTGCCTTGGTCTGTGGGGGCTCACCCATGGATTCTGATCTCCTCCCACCTGGCTTGCCTCTCACATAGGTCCTGCTGAGGCCCTTTGCAGCACTTCCTTGGAAGCTCCTTGAACACCCAGCAGATCTTTCTTCCCAACTTCAGCATAAATGTCACGTCCAGCAGGCCCTTGGCTGGCTCAGGCTGAGATCTGGAGTTGCTGTATGCAGACTTAAGGACCAGATGTACAGGATTCTTTGCTTAGGGATAAACAAAGCTGCTGTATTTGGGATATGCTGACTGTGCCTTGAAAATTTACATCTCAGCTTAGCTAGAGATCCCAGGCTGGACCTCCAGCTGCCACAGATCCTAAACACACCCGTCCAGCAAGGATAAGAAGTAGACTTCTTTTAGGAATTCTAGATTTTAGCAAAAATTCCTGAAAATCAGATTAGGGGGCTGACATACCACAGATTTAGGAATGTCTTGCAGTAAATAGGAAGCAAACATCTTGGAAATAAATGTTTAGGCTATCTCAGTTTGCTTTTTCAATTTACTGCTTACAGTAAATGGAAACTTCTAACTCTTGAAAAAAATAATATCACCTTTGTGGTTAGAAGTGCCTTGTTACAAGAAATGTGTTTATAAGTGACAGACTCAGGCAAGCAGCTCTCTTGCAGTTAAGGCCCTCATGTTTGTAAACTGGAATAACAAATCTCCCAGCCCAGGATGTTGCAGTAATCAAACAGGAAGCAAGAAAAGAAAAGTTATTTTAGGGTTTTTTTAAGTTGAGAAGAAATAAATGTAATGTGTTGGTGCTGGGTATCCACCATCCTCAACTCCAGTATTTAATGTCTCTTTCTGTCTCCAGGTGAATTTGCTTTCTACCTGTCTCCAGAGATAAGGACACAGTGTGAGTGGCTCCAGAATGGTCAGCAAATCCAGGGCCAGCACCCTGTTCTCACTGGGCAGAAAGCAGTGTGAGTAATGCTTTGGGGAAAAGGAAAGAAAAAGCAACTTCACTTTCAAAAACCAGGATTATCTTTTAATTAAGATGATTCTAATAATATTTCAATTAATTTTACTGGTTCCCCCAGTGCTGTGTCAAAAGAGCAACAGATATATCTTACAGAGAAGGGTCATGTATAATTTTAAATTTGGGGTAAATTTTATATTTATATATGTAAAAAAATATGAAGGCGGTAAATGCTTTGATTGTATAGGCCAGGAATTCAAGAAATTGCTGTTAATTTGGGGCTTTCTACTCCAAACATTGTTTTCAGAGGCTGGGCTGCCCTAGATTATCTGATACAGAGCATCCATGATAAAATTTCCTGAAAAGTAATGAAAGCTTGTGTCACCCAGACTCACTGGTGGCACAGAGCTGTCCTGGCTTTAGGAGGCCAAGCCCCTTGAAGTCAGATCTGTCTACTGAATTCACCCTTATCAGGGAATCACAGAACAGTTTGGGTTGGAAGGAACCTTAAAGAACATCTCGTTCTAACCCCTTGCCATGGGCAGGGACACCTTCCACTAGACCAGGTTGCCCCAAGCACTTTTCACTGCTTGGATCTAAACCCTCTTCACTGTGGGCAAATCTAAAGCTTTAGGGCAAAGCTTTAGGCCCAAAGCTCTTGACCTCAGGTGGATTCTTAGCAGTTTCTACATCAACTCTTCTCCACTTCCAAAATTCTGCTCAGGTTTGTGGCTCCCAACGCCACCATCAGCCAGACCTTCACCACCAGCACCACGGTCAGCGCAACCATCAAGCCCACGGCGAGTGCCCAGGCCAGAAGCACTCCTGCCAGCACCACGGCTCAGGGCAAGGCCACCGAGGCCACCCCAGCCAGCTCCGTGGTCCAAGGGAATGCCACAGCCCAGGGAGCAGCCGGTGCCACCACCCACACCAAAGCCAGCAGCCGGGCCAACGCCAACGCCACGGCCACCACAGCCAGCGGCAGGAGGAGACACAGTGGTATGTGAACAGCTCTCCCCATGTGGGCAGTGCCTCCCTCAGGGCTGAACCACAGTGGGCTGGGGCTCTTCTTGCCCCCTGAGAGGATTATTCCTGTGGGAAATATCACCCAAATTTCCGTTTTGGGTGTAAATCTGGTTTCCGTTCTGGTTTCTGTTTAGGCGGAAATCTGTGCTTGGGCATTGTCAACTTGTGTTAAGAATTTTGTACAAAAACGTGTTGGGGGGAGGCTTCCCCTAGGCAAAACACAAGCAGGAACAATCCAGCCAGCTACAGAGAATTTCTCTTTCTAGTGTGGCTCATTTGTTTCCATGATTTCCTCGTAGCATCGCCCCTTGGCCAAGTTTTGCTATTTGTGGTGGTTCATATAATGGCGTTGTTTGAATTCTCAGCTAATATGAATGGTTAGTTCACCAATGGGTCAGCATGGAGACCTATTTGGGAATGCCAAGCCTCTTCCATGTGAGCACAGTTCATACAAAGGAGGTTTCCCAGGTGTTCTTGCAAGGAGGTGCAGGCAGATCTGCACTAGCTGAGCAAGGATCAGAGAATGTGTCCAAGCATAGGGAAGCTCATCCAGTCACTGATGGCAAGTCCCTGCATAAATGATAAATAAAAAACAACAAATAAAAGCAATCAGCTTTTGCAAGGCTTTTATCAGCTTGAGGGGAATAAACTTTTCTGAGTGTTTCTTGCTCCACCAGTGCTTTATAAAGGTCTCATCCTTTGTGATCTGCCTGGGCAGGAAGGAGCACGTTTCCATAACAACCTCTTTGACCTTCTAAGGTTATCATCCCTGGAAGTGGTCAAGACCAGGTTGGATGAGCTATCTGGTCTAGGGGAAGGTGTCCCTGCCCATGGCAGGGGCTTGGAATGAGATGGTCTTGAAGGTCCCTTCCAACCCAAACCAGTCTGTGATTTTCTGTTCACTCTTAGGCAGGCTTGGCTTGAAGGTCTTCAGCAGCTCAGTGAATCCATTGGACCCTAGAGAAGAAGGATCTGACTTGGCACATTTACAGTTGTTGAGAAAGTGCTGGGAATTTCAAGCTGGGAGAATCTTGTAAAAAGAAAAGGAAAAAAAAAGGCTTTGATTTGCTAGATTGCAACAGATTATTAAAGATGAATACACTACTTGGTGTCCCTTCTGATTCTGCCCTGCAGCAAAGACCCACGACATCCAGATCACAGATGTCACTGAGAGCAGTGCCAGGCTGCGCTGGGCCAGCCCTGAGCCACACAACACCTTTGATGTCACTGTCACCTTGGCCCACGACCACTCCCTCGTGCAGAGGCAAAACCTGACTGGCACCGAGCACGTGATCCGAGGGCTCAGGAGTGGCCAAAAATACGTCGTCGTCATCACTGGCTACCAAAAATCCCAGCCCAAAGTAACCTACACAGGGTCATTCAGCACGAGTAAGTGACTCTTAAAAACTTTTTTTTTGTTTCATTAAGTGGACACAAAAAGTGGGAGGGAAAAAAAAAAAAAGGATCAGGAATCAGTTGGTACCAACAATCCCAGACCTGGCTGTGCTAAGTTGTGTCACCTCATGTCTTCCATCCTCTGCATCACCAGCAGGGTATGAGATGTGGCAAATGTGTTTCTTTGAAAAATGGGAGTGTTTCTTTGAAAAATGGGAGTCACACTTCAGTGGGGTTAAATCTGCACGGAATGTGGGATAATTAAAGGCAGTCCCAGAGTGGTTTTGTTACGTGCTGGAGGGTTTGTACATCAGTGCAAAAGGTCTTGGTGGGGGTCCAGCCTGCATTACTGCAATGAATAATGAGTCAAACTGGTCAACTCAGTCCAGCCCGATTTCAAAATAAGCAAGAAAAGCTGCTTCCCTGATAGCCATTTCCATGGCTACTGATCTGCTTCCCACACTATCCAGAAAAACCCACAAAGCAGAGGTGAAACGGAAGGTTTAGTCCCTTGGGGATCCAAACTCCGTGTGTGTAGATCCAATATGAACCTCACCAAAATCCCTGGCATGGCCAAAAGTTTCTGTCTGAGACACAGCCAATTTTTTTTAATACAGTTGGCACAGAGGTGACTTGGCTTGGTAGTGTGGCTGGCCCTGCCAGTGCCGTGTCTGGCTTCCTCTGGCACTTCCAAGACAATTCCAGTGCCCGTGGAGAGCCTTTCCTCTGGCTTCAGTGGGTTTGGACCAGTCCCTTAACCTTCACAAGCAATAAAAATGCCCACAAAAATGTTGAGAAAAGGCATCAGTTGGTAGAAGTAACATTTGCAAGTCCTGAATTGGAGCTCCCAATGCCCAGGGAAGCTGCTTTTCCCATAGAATAAATCTTGAATGGGAATAAGCTGAGTAGGCAGTGGTGGCAAAGCTGTGACCTGGACACTGAGTAAGATTGTCTCCCTCACCCACACCCAAACTAAAGAAAAGAAAATCCAGCCCTTCCTGTGGCTGCAGACCCCTCCTGCCCTCCAGCCCTTCGGATTTTTTTCACCTGTGAAATTCCTCACCATAGCTCCTAGAGGGATTTGGGGCCTGATGAGAGGAGTGTGGTCCAGGAGAGCCCCTGAGGGAACAAGAGTGTACAGCTCCATCATGGATTCGCTCTCCTGGGGGATGCCATTTTTATTCTGCCATCTCTAAGGCCAGGACAACAAAGCCAAACTGGCTCCAGAGAGGCCACATCCAGCTCCTGAGCCCCTGCCCTGTCCATGCTGTGGGGTGAGTGGGGCCATCCAAAGCAGTCACATGGGGCCCTGAGGATGCTCCTGTGTGGTGACCCCCGAGGATGAGCCCAAGCAGAGCCACAGGCTGGGAACAGAAGGTGATCCCATCCTGGTGCAGCTGGGTGGCTGGGGATTACTCATCCCATCAGCTGCCTCCAATAAACATCTCTCATTTGTGTGTGCTGGGCTAAACAGATCCAGACCTGGCCCCTGTGCTGGAGCTGGGGCCAGGGAGTGTTTATGACTGCACTGAGGGTCCTGCTGCTGCTGCTGCCCTGACCCTCTGCCTCTCGTCCACAGAGACCCCAGTGCAGCCCCAGGTGTCCCTGGCCAACATGATGCTCAACACTGAGCCACTGGAAGGGCCTGAGAGTGGTGAGTGTGGGCCATGGGGGGATGGCTGGGCTGGGGGGTCTCACAGTCCCACTAACACCCAAGGATCTGCAAGTCCTTGGCTTTGCAGAGCCAGCTGGTCATGGCCTTGGTGACATCCTTGGCTGCACTGGGGTCTCTGCCCCATCACTTTGGGTGACATCCAGCTCATCACATCAGTGCTGTCACACTCAGTGGTGCCATCGATGTCACAACCCCTCCTCCAAGGACCTGGAAGGGCTCTCAGCCTTCATCGAGCAGCACAGCCACTGCAGACACACCAACAATGGATCTGTCATCCCAATCTCTTCCCTGAATCATCCTCCCATGTTTTCTTTTAAACACTTTGCTTACACTGTGGCTCGATTTCTTCACCAAGTGGTCTGAGAGGACAGGGAAATGCTCCTGCTCAGTGTGTTCAGCCAGGAGTTGTGGAGCTGCTGCTGAGCTCTGGCTGCTGGCATTGAGTGGGATGAGCATGGATCTCATTCATGGTTGGCTGGTGGCACCACTGGAGCTTTGTGCAGTGGAGGAGCCAAGGGCTTGTGCTGAACCAGCTCATTTCTCCTTCCTGCATGAACCATCGTCATTCCCTTTCCATGTGCTCCCACTCATTTGGCCTCTCTCCCTGGCACTGACATCAGAAGCCTTGTGACAAGGTGACAAGCACCCCGTGGCTTTGTTTAACCCCTTGTTTAACCCCTTGGCACCAGCCCTTGGGAAAGCAGGGCTTCTCCTGCTCCAGGGAAATTGGATGTGCTGTGTGCTTGCTCTGCACTTCCACACAGACCTCTCCATCTCTGCTCCTCTCACCAACCCTCTCTGCCTGAGGATTTATGGCAGCCAGCAATCTGGGGGGAGCATTCCCCAAGGATGCTAAGCCAAAGGTTTTCAGCAGGATAAAGACTGTAAAGAGGGCAGGGAATTGGGAATTAGCTGAGCCTCCTCTAGTTCATAGGAGACATCCAAGTGTAAATCTTCTGAGAGACCTTGGAGGAAAGCCCACACTCTGCCCTCCTTGTATAGGTAAAATAGCATGGATGGCCCAGCATGGCTAATAAAAACTCTGGGATTTGGACATAAATTATCATCTTTGGGGCAGGGAAGGAACATATGTTTAAATCTTCACTGAGGCCTCACGTATACCAGGTGCAACTTGCTTTTAGAGATAAACACACTTAAGGACTGGAAGTTACTGCCAGGACAAAGAGCTTTGAAAACAGGGAGGGGGGATTTGTGTGAGAGCTCAGTCCTGGGTGCCCCAGTGGGGAGTAAGGGGTTCCCACTATGTTCCTCAAAGGATTTGGGGTTTGGATCTGTGACAAAACCAAGAGCAAGAAGTGTTAAGCTGGAGGCTGGGGAAGGTTTGCATCCAGCAAGGCAAGACAAAACACATGAGAGAGAAAAGTCACCAGTCCTGAACCAGGCTTTATTTTCTCTTTTTTTTCTCTTTTCAATCTCTTTGCTTTTTCAGCTTTTAACCCTCTCAGAGTCACTTAACCTTTGCACCTTTTGCCATGCAGATTGGGCAGACCCTTGCTTGCTGGACTTTGACATGGGCATGCAGTGCAAGGACTATCAGATTGTGTGGTTCTTTGACTCCAAACACAAGTTCTGCAGCCAGGGTTGGTATGGTGGCTGTGGAGGTAATGCCAATAGATTTGAGACCGAAGCTGAGTGCTATAACAAATGCTTAAAGCCATGTAAGTACCCCACGAGGATTCACCCATTTGCATTTTGTCCTATTGTCAAATGATGCTCGGATCAGAGAGAAAACCCCATTTAAAATCCAAACCCATGCACTTTTTTCCTCCTCCAGTAGCAGACGAGAAAGCCATGCAGCAGCCACCCCTTGAGAAAAGATTATCATCAGGTAACACCCTCAAAAAAAAAAATTAATCATCACAAACAAAGCAAACCCATTCTTTCACCTTGACCATTTCACAGCATGCATCCAAGCCTGCCCAACCCTAGATTAAAAGTAGCACAGACTCAGTTTTCACTTGCTCCTTCACACGACCATGCTCTTCCATCTGCTTTGCATGACCAAGTCACTTTGCATGTGTGTTGTCCCACCAGGATGGGCTGTGTGGGCACAGCCTGAGTGGCAAAGCTCACTTTGGCTTTCATGAGGGACCTGGGGTGGCTGCACTGGAGCGTGGCACGCTCTCCAACCAGTTTGTGTTATCTCTGTGTGACCAAATTCTCCACTGAAATGCAGAGAATTCCCAACATTTCGCTGCCTGGAACCAAAACACCTGATGGAAAGTGACCCCATGGGGCTCGGGTATTGCATGGAGATGTTTTCCTTCATCACAAAAAGATAAAAGTCAAGGTTGAAGGAGGAGGCTGCAGGAAAATGGCAATGCCCTCCTCTCCTCAAGGCATTTCTGAGGTTAAGGGGTTATGTTTGCAAACCTCTGCAGGACCTGGGAAGGGAGAAGTCTTTGAAATCACCTGTGTTGGTTCAGCAAGGGGCTGGGATGGGAACAGAGCCCAGAAAATCCTTATCAGAGCAGTCTCCCCCTCCCAGAGGTGTTTCAGGACCCTTTGTGGAGTTGGGAGGAAAACCAAATAGTGAAGACATCTCTGGTACCTAAAGGCAGGGCTTTAGTCCTTGGAGGGGCATGACAGGGTTTGAAAAGGCAAATCACAGACCCTTCCACCTCATTTGACTTTCTTAGGCTTATTTTAGGATCCTTAAATGACCCTTAGGAATTTTTATCACTGGCAGCCCTGCAGAGATGTGGAGGCAAGGAGGAGGCCACCACCAGCCACAGAGATGTATGGGGTGGCAAAAGGGGATTTCAAGGTTCTTTGGGGATGCAAATGGACATCATGGATCCTCTGGCTGTAGTTGGAGGACTTTGCTGCTGGAGAAAGGAGTGCAGAGCTTGTGCAGGAACCTGCAGCTTCACTGCAGAGCAGGATTCCACCTTTGGAGAGCAATGAAACCTCCCTGATGAGGTTTTCTCTGGAGTAGAGTGCGTGTTTCTGCTAGCCCTGTCCCACAGGCCAGCCCCTTCTGATCATTGTCACATGCCTTGATGATGTTTCCAGCAACTGTTTCTGAGGCTAAAGTGATATTTCATCAACTTGGCACTGCTCTGTCCTGGGCACAGAGTCAAGAAAAGCAGCCGAGGGGCCCTGGAGGGATGTTCAGGTCTCTGCCTGCTGTGCTCTGCTCACTTTATTCCATTTACTGCAAAGCCAGAGCTTGAATCCACATGGAAAATGGACACAGGAGTTCAGTGCAGCTCAGCTTTTAAGGTGCTGGGTGGTGGCTCAGGCTCTCTGGGTTCAGCCCATAGCAGGTGCAACAGTGAGAAATGAGTTGAGCTCCCAAAACTCAAAGCACTTTGGGTGCAAAAACATGCACCAGGCCCACTTCCCTTCTGAAGCCTTCAAAATGCTGAGATCCCCTTTAATTATGGACTTTTTATACAATTTTTTATGTGTAGATGTGGAACTTGAGGCATGGTTTAATGGTGAGCTTGGCAGTGTTGGGGTAATGGTTGGGCTCAAGGGTCTTAGGGGACTTTTCCAACCTTAATGATTCTATGGTTTTATTTTTTTTGTTATTAACTTTTTTTTACCATGACAAAGTAACTCTTAAGTGTAACTGAGGAGCCCAGGCACATTTTCTCCATGGGATGACTTAAAACCCTGTCTCTCCCCATCTTTTCAACCTGCTACAGCTTAAAACACATTTTAACTCCCTAGTTCTTGCTCTCCACCAACTCTTGGAAATTTTTGGGTAAGCTTTTGTTTAATTTCAGTCTGAAATAGGGGAAAATTAGGTTATATATGCAAAAGAAATTCTTCTGTTTTGATTAGTGTTTGATTTGATTCCTGTGCAGGGTTTGGGGTAAAGTCATTCCTGTGTTCACATCTGCTGGATTTCAGTGTTTTGGAAGGTGGGGAAGAAGGGAGATGGGCTTTGGAAAAAGAAAATCCGAATATAAAAAAGGCAAAGAGCCTGCCTGAGGCATGGGGGAGCTTTTGGCTGTAAGAGCCCCAAAAGCAAAGCTGAACTGGAAGGTCAATACTGAATTCTGACTCCCCCTTATCTGTGATGTTTATGCTGTTCTGAGCAGAGGTGGCAAAAGCTCCTTCTGTATGCCTCTGTGAAGGCTGGTGTGTGACCTGATGGCAAATCAGTGGCTGATGTCAGATTTTTAAAATTTTTATTTAAAAAAAATTATTTAGCAGTTTCATTTTGCCACATCCAAGCGCTTCGTTGTTTTGTTCCCCGCTCACCCAGCAAGGGATGCAAGGTGCCATGGGCAGGGTGTGGTGGACCCAGGAGCTTCTTCACATGGAAGATTTCCCTTTTCAGAGGAAGTCAGTCATTTTAGTGGGGCCAGTACTTCTTCCCTTGCAGCCCAGCCAGTCCTCCCCCCGTTCTGAGACCTGCCAACTCATTTCCTACACATCCAAGGGATTTGCAGACTGCCATGCAACCACTCTTCCTTCATCACTCCTGGATGCATGGCAGCAACACAGGGGACAAACTAACTTGTGTACCAGGGTTGGTGACCTCCAGGTCAGAACCTGCAGGGAAAGAGGTTCTCCTTGCAAAGAAAGAGATGAGATTTAGTCACAGGAGCTGTGCACAGTCTGGGCTGTGGATGCCCTTCCTCAGCTTGCATTCCAGCCCTGCCCTGCAGACACACCGTGCTTCACCCAGGAGTGCCACTGACAGCTGTTGCTTCTGCTTTTTTCCACAGTCATGGATATCTGCAGGCTGCAGAAGGACGAGGGCACCTGCAGGAACTTTGTGCTGAAGTGGTACTATGACCCCGAGACCAAGAGCTGCGCCCGCTTCTGGTACGGCGGCTGCGGTGGCAACGAGAACAGGTTCAACACGCAGAAAGAATGTGAAAAACTCTGCATCCCTGGTAAGAGGGGCTCAGCCAAATCCCTGGCATAAATTACCTCATTTATCTTCCCTCAATATCCTGCATCACAACCTTATTTATTGCTTCTTCCTCCGCCAGGTACCATCAACCCCGGCGTGGTGACGACGATAGGGACATAGGGCCAGGGGCTGGCAAACACTTACCTCTGAGACAGCATCACCTTTGCCACCTTGCCCCTATAGAAGCTAAGGGTATAGACAACCTTGCACTGTAATATTTCATGCTTTTAACTCCCAAGCAAACCCTGAGGAGAGGGTTTTGCTGCATGACCTATCAATATGGTGCTAAATTGTTTGTGGACTGAGTGCTACACGTGCCCGGGTTATATTGTATAGCTTCAACATTGCCAAATATTTACCCAAGTGCAGATTGTTATTGTCTCTCAACATGTCTTGAAATTAGCCTTTTCCCCCTCCAATTCTGGCCATCTGTCTATCTAAGGCACCATAAAAACGAGTCAAAAAAACCCCAACATAATAATTTCGCTGCAACTTGTTACCTGCTTGCTTTTATCCTTCTCATAACTGAGCATAACTTTACAGGGGAAGCCTTTGTGTAAGAGAGTGGCTGATTCCGATAAACAAGTGGTTCCATTTTCACTCTTCCTCTTTTATTTTCTTTTTTTTCCCCTCCTTTTCCTGGATTTGATCTCAGACTAGATCTCTTGTATGCATTTGTACCACATGTGGCCAAGCGAACTAGCAAGGAAAAGGAAGCAAAGTTTCCGAATGCAAATGCACTGCTGGGACCAAGGCCTCAGTTAACAAATCTTTAAATTGTGGTGTAGGATGCCTCTGGCGTTCTTCTGATGTTGTATGTTTTATGAAATACAAAGCAAAGCAGTCTGGGGAGGGGGGAGCAGTGGGAGGGAGGGGGGTTTTGTTTTTATTGTGGATTCTATGTCAGGAAGTCTATACAAAGAACTTTTAAATAAAGTCTAATGGAGATTTTGAAAAACTTGTGGGTTTGTCTTTTCTAAAGCCAGTGTGGGTATCAATGGGATAATTTTTCAGGGTCTGGAAAGCAATTTTTTTGGGGGGGGAGGGGAATCCCACTGTGCCTCAAAGGGAGGATAGATGTAGTAAAGATATTCAGGGGGACAGCACTGGGAGGCTGCTGGCAACCTGGAGATTTCCAGCTTGGAAGAAAGGTGGAAACAGAGCTGTCTTGGTTGTGAAATCTCCATCCTGAAGGAATTTAAACTCAGCTGGACATGGCATGGAGCAACTTGGCTTCAGCCAGTCCTGGGTGTCCCTTCCAACCTGTATGACTCAATGACCCTGTAAGTATTTTCATCTGTCTCCTGCGCTTCCACAGCCATAATTTTTACCCTTTCTGTCCTTCTCTGAGTTCACCCAAGGAAGATAAAATCCCCAGAAAAACGCACATTTCCCTGCCCCTTCAAAAATCCCCCTGAAAGCACCAAAGCAGATGAAAGTGGCCACCCCAGGGCAGGGGGTAGCTCTGGGCTGTGGGGCTGACATCCTCAGTTTCCCTGTTGTTGTCCTGCCTTGAAGGAAAAACGGAGCCTTGCAGGCACATGGCATGGAGAGGGCAGTTGGAGCACCAAAAACAGGGCATTGGTGAGGGAGAACTGGGAGGGGGCATTGAGCCATTCTGGAGAACTGGGTCGGATTGGTTAAACCTTGGAAAGGAGACCCTTGCAATTCAGCGATTATCCAGGTGTTCTTCCACAGGTCAGGGTGGGACTGTCACAAGAAGGCCACCTGGTGCTGTGCTGGTGCTTTCTGAAGCACTTCAGGCAGGTCCCCATGGGCCATGATAGGAGATGTTCCACGTGTGCTGCACACACAACAGCGATTCCTTTGGCAGCACCTCCCAGGAGGAGAATTTGCCCTCCACAATTAATTAATCTTCATTTGTAAGACTAAATTAACCCGGTCTGACACCTCAGGCTCCCTGTCCAGTGCTGCACACAATCCACAGGGTTCCAAGGGCCTCACCCTGACCTGCCCAGGGCACAAGAAGAGCTCGCAGGGCTGCTCTGGGCTTTGTCCCCGTGGAGATTTACAGTTCAGGCATCCCGTTCTTGGCAGGAGGAGCAGCCCAGATCCCAAAGCTTCCTGTCAGCACCGAGCCACTCGCGTGGGGACAGGGGACAGCTGAGCTGGGGAAGCTGTGCTGTTTATTTGGCACCTTCCCCGAGCACATCACAAGGGCTCCGTTAGAAAAAGAGGCGAATGGGTAAATGTTATTTATTTATTTTTTATTGTAACTGGCTCTTGCAGTGGCTCCCAGCGACTCAAGAGCCTGCCCCGCATCTCACCGCGCACCGGGCATGGCCGAGCCCCCCTTTTTCTGCTCCCACGGCGTTTAAAAGCTGCACTGAGGTTAAAGCGATCCTTCCCTCCCTCTGCAGCACGGGAGAGTTTTTCCCAGTGCCTGTGCCGCCTCCGTTTCCCGCGGAAGCTGCTTTCCATGGCCCGTGCATCCCTCCAGGATGCCAGGGCGCACCGGGGGGAGAAGGGAGCTCGGGAAGGGGTCGGGAAGGGGTCGGGAAGGGGTCGGGAAGGGGTCTCCCATCCCATCCCATCCCATCCCCGGGGCGTTGCAGGCGCTCCTGAGCCTTTAAAGGAAGCGCATTACGCCCCGGGCCCCCGGCCAGCGAACACGAGCGGCTGCACATGGAAGTCATCTGCAGCTGGGAGCGCATCTGCCAGCGTGGCTGAGCGACCAGAGCCGGGGTAAAAATAGCCCAGCCTGGCCCGAGCCACGCCGTGCACTCCCGGCTGCCGGTGGGGAGCCCCGACATCCACGCCCTGCTGCTTTTGGGGTGGCCTCAGACCCCCCCTTTCAGCAGAATTCCTTCTGGAGACATCACCTCCTGCAGCAAAAATGCGTCTGGCCTTGCTTCAGATGGTGCTGCCTCAGTCTCACAGCCCTGCCACGCCATAAATTAAGCCAGACTCCAGCCTAGAATTTCCCTTCAAGCTGAGGGCACGGTGTGAGATGAAAGAGTGCCACTGGAATTGCTCTAAATCTCTGGAGTTTTCCAGGATTGGGTCAGGGAAGCCTTCACAGAGCTGAGGTGACACTGCCTCGGGGACCTGTGTAAAGTCCAAGTAAACCTCGAATGTAATGCTGTGTCTTCAGATCTGAGTGCTAATTCTGTCCCAATGGAAGAACCACAAAATAGTCTGGGTTCGAAGGGACCTTAAAGATAATTTCGTCCCACCCCCTGCCTGTCACGGACACCTTCCACTATCCCAGGTTGCTCCAAGCTCCATCCAGCCTGGCCTTGGACAATTCCAGGGATCCAGGGGCAGCCACAGCTTTTCTGGGCAACCTGTGCCAGGGCCTTCCCATCTTTCCAGGGAAGAATTTCTTCCTAATACCCAGTCTAAACCTACTCTTTGAGTTTGAATTCATTCCCTTTTGTCCTGTCACATCTTTCTTCGAGTCCTGAAGATCAGCAGAGCCAGCAGTCCTTCTTTTACCAGGGAATTTCTTCATGGAGCATTTCACAGTCAGGCTGCCCAGAATAAGCCACAAAATCCTACACTCCCTCTTACACCTACACCTCCTCCTTAAAGAGTGATAGTGGGCAGTCTCTGGGACAAACTATTACAAATAGTCACTGTCAAATCTCACTTTCTCCAGCTGAAGTCCAGAAGGTTTTGAATGACTCTGCTGAGTGAGGGTTCAACCCTAGAGCACAGACATAACCACTTACAGTACCAGTGGTGTCATAAATATGAAGAGCAGGATGTGTCCTAGAGTTCAACACTGAAGCCAGACCCTTAAATTTAGGACAGCATCAGCATTTAATGCTTGGTTAGGTTCCCTCAACGCTGCAGCTTTGCATTTAATCACAGCCTTCTAGGGAGACCTTTACAAGGAGAGGCAAAGTGGCTGTGACACATTTTATTAGCCAGTACTACATTTATTACATCAGTGAAAGAAGCCAGTCTAGAAGTCTAGAGATGCTCAGATGTACCTGCCCAGATCCTTCCTGGATTTTCCAGCAATGCCCTACACAGCCAGCGTTGACATTGCAAGGTCAGGAGTTCAAGGAAAATGACATGTTCCATGCCAGGCATTCCTGGAAATTAGGAAATTAGGACTGTATCCAAGTGCTTGAGCAGAGATGCAGATAAACCTGGAGCAGCTGAGCCTGCAGCAAAGGATCTTTGGATAACTGGGACAGAAGTGTGGGCATTTCTTTGCCCGGGGGTCTTCTGCCCGTGGGATGGAAATACTGCAACTCCCAACCCCAAAATCATTGGAATGAGATGGAGATGATAAGGTAGAAGAAGGGGATTTGGAAGATCCTGGATTTTCTAGGTGGTCTGTTGCTTTCTGCCTATGTTTTCCAGCCCCATAAGTGTTTTGGGGGCAGAATAGCTGCTCCTGGGGAACAGCACCTGGCAGGGAGTTCACTGCAAGCAATCCCCATTCCCATGAGCTCAGCTGAGCATCCTGGGTGGTTTTAAACTCCAAAACTCTAATCCATGATAACTTTAAACTTCTCAGACCTTGCCCAGAGGCCGGGGATCACTCAAAATGGAAGCACAGCCTCCCCAAAAGCAAACCCCAGGGCTCAGTGGGACGTGGCGGGATAAACAGCCCCAGCGAGAGCCGGGAGTGCACTCCAGCTGCGGGATGATTTATGGCACAGCAGGAGCACGGCTTTTTTTTCTTTCTTACTTTATTTTTTTTTCTTTTTCTCTTTTTTTTTTTTTTTTTTTTTTTTTTTTGGGTTAAACAGAGCAGATCCGAACCAGATGTGTAACCTTTATCTCCATCGCAGCGGAGGAGAGAGACGGGGGAGCAGACAGGGGAGAGGGAAAAGACGTTCGAGTTTCCATGAGTGGCCACTCTGCTGCCTCCCAAAGCCAGCTCAGGAAGAAAAATGAGCTCCAGCAGCCAGGAAACTTCGCTGTGCTGAACTCCGTGTTTTGTTTCCCCCTGTGTTGCTGAGACAACCACGCCGAAATAAAAGCGCGGCCGGCTGCGATGACCTCAGCGTGCTGCTCCATAAAACCTGATATTCTAAAGATTTAACCCGTTATATCTTTATATATTTGAGGATGAGCCTTGTGCTGGGAGGTTCAGACACCCAAAAATCTTCTGGGATTTTTCCCACCCAAGCAGCGAGATGTAAGGGGGAGGGATGTGGGAGAGTGATGGATGATCCCAGGGCCACCTGTGAGAAAAAGCTCTTGGGAAGGTTCTGCTGAGGGGAAAAACACAAACTGGGGAGTTCTGTGTCCAGCTCTGGGGTCTCCAGGACAGGAAGGACATGCAGCTGTTGGAGCCAGTCCAGAAGAGGGCCATGGAGATGAGCAGAGGGATGGAGCAGCTCTGGAAGGATTGGGATTGTTCAGCCTGGAGAAGGCTTTGAGGTGACACAGTTGTGGCTGTCCAGTGCCTGAAGGGAGCCCCCAGGAAACACAGAGAGAAGCTTTTTACAAGGGCCTGGTGTGACAGGATAAGGGGGAATGGCTTCAAATTGACATGAATGAGTTAAAACTGAAAGAGATTAGATTTACATTAGAAATTGGGAAGGAATTGTTCCCTGTGAGGGTGGTGATGCCCCGGCACAGGGTGCCCAGAGAAGCTGTGGCTGCCCCTGGATCCCTGGAAATGTCCAAGGCCAGGTAGGACATTAGGGCTTGGAGCAGCCTGGGATAGTGGAAGGTGTCCCTGCTCAAGGCAGGAGGCTGGAACTGGATGATCTTTAAGGTGCCTCCCAACCTGAACCATTCTATGATTCTGTAATTCTCTGATTTCCAAATTCACAGCTCCATGCCTTGCAAACAGGGAAGCACTCTGGGAATAACATACAGCTCTCACTCACCGAAAATTAGCTTCCAAACCTGAGATGAAAGCACCCCAGTGTGCTGCAGGGGATCTCCTCTGAGATGGAAGTATCCTACTGGGCAAAGGCCAAATAAGCCATTGCTCTTGAAAAAAGGCAGAAATTATTTAAGCAT